TTCTAATGCAATGAAGCATATTCAAACTTGTGAAAAATACTGTATGGGTCGCCGATAGCCTAACGGTTATGTTGCGCGCCACATGTACATAGTCCTCATCACAGCGGTCGTGGGTTAGAATCCGACTTCAGCCCTTTTGCTGCATGTCATCCCCTCACTCTCTCCTCCCAATGTTTCCTGTCTCTCTTCAGCTGTCCAGGCCAAGGCCAGAAAAAAACTTGAAATACATTAAGTATAACATTTTCTCTATTATCACTCATCTTACCCTGCTTCTTATTTATAAAAATTACACATGTAACAAAAGCCTCTGAATCTTAAATCTTCTCCTAAAGACAGAGGGAGAAGAAGAAATGATAAACTCTGTGCTCGTAAAGTTTGATGCCCTGAAATGATCTGAAGTGGTTACAACACTTATCCTCACGGCTTTACTAAATACTAAATAAAAAGGATGACCGCTTCAATGTGGATTGTAGAGAAGCACGTCTCGCAACTTGCAAAGTTTTACTCTGAGATGCAGACGACTCAGCGGCGAGTGTCAGATCACTGCGCCGTCTATACGACACATTCACGAGGTAGCCGACTGCGACACCAGCCCTACATCTGTCACTACTGCGTCCCCCTCCTCTCCGCTGCAACTGTTACACAAACGCACAACCATCCAGCCAGTCAGCTGCATGAGTAGCTCATGTGTTCTGGAGACTGGCACAGGCTGCCTCTGTAGAGTAGCGGGGGTGGTCGAGGCCGAGGTCCTGCACAAAAGAAGCTCTATCCTGACCGGAGCGAGCTGCTCTGAGGGCAGCGGCTACAGAGGAGGCCGTGACACAGAACAACTCCCACTACACAAGAGTCCCTCAGAGACAAGAAAGACTGCTGCGAGTTGTTGACACCTTTATGTTTTACACACAGCAGCTGATCTGTCTGCATGGGTCAGCTTTTAAAGATTCTAGCTATTCACATCAGTATATAATGAGCTGCTCTTTAAAACCCGACTGAGGGGGAAATCGTCGTGGACGTTCAGCTAATTATAGTCGGCAGCAACATGAGAGCCAAGAGCCAGTCTGTGAAACAGAGGCACACCAAACAGCAACAGTTGCTAAGGGAAGTCTCCGACATTTCTGGGTGGTTACTAGCGTTGGCTGTGACTCAATAGAGCATATACATAGCATGTGTGTTGAGAAATGAAAAGCTCAGTTTAACTTCGTCACAGTCATTTTCAGTCTTTCGCTCAAAGTTTCCTGCACCCTCTTTTCTCTTTTCATTGACTCATTCTTCTTAAAGGAGAGGTTTTACAGTCATAAGACAATTTAGCCGCTTCGTATTTATGATATTACTAACAGCAGGGTAAAAGGCCGGCCCAGGGCATGACTCATCCTGATTTAATACCAATAGCTTTACTGTGCCACATGACAAGCAGAATTTGCACTTACGTGGGTGTGTAACTGTTATCTGCTTGTCGTTCTGTAGCTTCAAGTACGGTCATGCCTTTGACAGACAGGATAAATTAAAAACTGAAAACATAGAACTACCTGCTATTTGGCAAGGCTTGCTGTCAAAACACCTCTGAAAATCAGCTGGAATTAGGCCTTTTATTTCATTAGAGCTTTGGTTTCTTTTCTGTTTAAGATTGTAATCTGTGTAATACTGGCTTCCCTTTAGATTAGACATAATAAGCAGTAATGACATTTGTCTTCCTGTTTCACTCCCACCTTCCCTCTCCCTGCTTTGTAAACGATCTCAAACATCCCGCATCGGTGACGATTTCCCTAACCAGGCTCCGGTGAAGGCACAAACAACATAACAGAGTCATTCCAGTGAAGCAGAAAGCTAAAAGGCCGGAGAAAGGCACACCAGAAAAAGTGTGCAGAGCAATTCTCACATTCTTTGTTCCTAAACTTCACACTGGGTCTGGACTTTCCATTACCCCTGAAAAGGAAAAAAAACTTTACCATGGGTGGACCACTTTCCACCAACGTCCGACATCTTTCTGTATAATGAGCTTGTTGAGTTTATAAGTGCACAAACTAAAAAAGGACGCTTTGAAGAACGAGGAAAGTAGCCTACAATAATATCCAGTCCAGCACTGTAAGCTTCTGTGAGGTGTATCATAATAGTCAAATTAGGCACACCTGACTGCTGGGAATCTGATAAAAAAAAAAAAAAACCTTCAAAATGCAGAACTGAAGTGAAGAATCTACGGTCAAAGCCTGTCATGTGTAAAAGAGAACACACCGCTGTGAAATGCAAACAAAGGCAATCATGTGAAAAACAGTGGTGAAGGATAGTCTGAATAAAACTGTCCTCCAAGCCAGGAAGTGGTAGAGTCTTGTCAGGATGTGGGACACTTTAACCCACACACCTATGACTTACTCATCCCTACTGCACAGAAGTGTTGCTCTCATGTTTCTCTTCCAACCTCTGTAGCTGCATATATGCCTGTTAAGTAGATCCAGATGTGCAAAAATGAGGGGGAAACTCACTTTAATGAGCTTTTATACTGCTAGGAATGTGATATACATTACATCTCACCGCCATATTTGGTCTACTTCCTTGCCTACAAATAGTAATGCAGCCGGTGGTAACAAGTTTGAAAAAAAAAAAAAAGGAGGGGTTGCCTGACAACTGAGGGTCGAGTTAACCCGGGTGACCTTTTTATGTGCCATTAACGCACAGCATTTGGCTCTTTGGTGCCAACTGAGAAAACAGAGGAGCAAAAGTGACAGGTGGAAACCCTTACCCACTCTCACTGAATGATCCCTCACACCCACAGAGCACATGCCTCTCATTCCAGGACTACAAAGCACCAGCAGATAATACGCAGAAATGTAGCTGAACATGCGACAACAACACTTTGTATCATCTCTATAAAGCTTAAGAGGGAGAAAATGAAAAAAAAAAACACCACACAGGGCTGCCAGAAACCGCTTTTTCTAGCTTTGAATCGTTGATAAATTGCAGGCTACAGTTTTGCAAGCAGTTGTTCAAGCAGAGATTAAAGTTACCAAGTTTGCCACCAAGTTCTGATAACTCACAATTTCCGCAGCGAGGATAAACCCTTTCGGCGTCTTCACGTAGCTCTTCAGCTTCTCCAGGCAGCTGGGACCGGACGCGGTTGTATCAGCCATTCTGTAATAACTGACTTATTGTAAAGCGTCAGTGAGTTGCTCTCGGAGCGTCAGAGATAGCAGCCGACGAGACAGAGTCGGAATAAACCGAGCAAAACTTGTGTCGAGCGCAGAAGGAAAAAAGGTCCCCGTCGCTGCGGTTCCGTTGGCTCACGGTCGGATGAATCAGTGTCTCCGATGAGAAGTCTCAGTCAAAGTGAAGTTACACTCGGCGTAGCAGCTCACTCTCAAACCGCAGCGAGCTCTCTGCAACAACACACACAAAAAAAAAACTTTCTGTCTGCTGTTGTGGAGAGGTGGAGGAGGGGGTGGAAGAAGGCGGGGGTATCCCGAGCTGAGGAGCTGACAGTGGGGCGTTGGCTTTCACTTTTCTCAAGGGGAGTTGCTGCTGTTGGCACCACGGAGACGAGCTGCTCCCATGCTGCGTTCAGGGGTTCCTCGTTAGCTTTTTTTTTTTTTTTTTTTTTTTTTGAAGACTAGTTCAAATGTGATTCTTTTATTAACAAATCAACTGTGGTTTATATATTGGGATGGGTGAAGTCTTCAGACTCTCTACTCAAGCAGAAGCACCATCATTTGAAATACTCTTGATTGTATATATTTAATTAGGGAAATTGCGCATTGTTTAAAACTTCTTTTCTCCCATTGATACTGTATATAGATATTACAGAGCATCTGTAACGTGTACTTTTCTAACTTCAGGCAGACGCTGTTATTTGATGTTTATTAAACTTAATAAATAATACAATAATATTTTGTAATTGTTGTAAAATTCCTGCAAATTTGCATATTTTTCTCACTTAATTTGTTTCTCACTTAATACATTTATTCTAGTTGATCATTGGAGCTTTTTACATTTCTTATATTAATTATCTTAATATCAAGAAGAGACCAGATAACACCTCCAGTTGATTACCTGTACAACCCAGAATAGTGGCTTAGTGGCGGTGAACGCATCATTCCCCTAATAAAGCAAACTTCTCTCTCCGGGATCTAGCCTAGTTTTACAAGCCCAATTTGTTTTTTGTTTGTATTTGTATTTAGTATGAGACAGAGATGGTGATGTACAGATCATTGTTTGCATCAGACAATTAAACGTTTTTTCACAGGAAATCTATTTTTAAATGGCACGTATTTGCTTTGGCAACAACAACTAAAATGCACAAGACCTGAAACACATAACAAGACTCAAGACTCAGCACAAGACTTGTGCTCAACGGCAGGCCAAGCCATGGAGGTGTGACATATAGCTTTGAAATGTGATCAAATTTAAATTTCATATGGTTCTAGTATATTTAATAACCACTCTGTGAATGAAAATCACTTTATTCAACACTTGAAATGTATGGTCCTTTATATGCAAAATGGAAAAGAAAATCACTACAAATGAACTTAATTATGAACTTGAAATCGGTTTTGAACCACTACTGTATCCACAATATACTCAATATGTCTTTAAATCTGAATTGCCTTGCATTATTTATGCACATAGCTTTGAAAACTGAGTACAAAATTCTCAGGTCTGGAAAAAACATTAGAAGGGTACCAAGTAATACTCCCTACAACCACTAGGGGCCACCCTGCAGAATCCTCATTACCCACCACAGTCTAGGTCAAAATACAGGGTCACACTAACCTTTTGCTGACATTCTAGTCTTTAAATGCCTGCTTCCCTCAGAAATATAGGCCAGCTGCCGAATTCACTTTTCTATGCTGTGCTTGAACAATTTATTTTTAGGATGGTGTTGTTTATCTTTTAAGTAATTTCAATTTTAAGTAATCATAACAGTGATTTTTAAACTTTTTGTAACAGATTTTTTTGCAAACAAAACCCAACTCAACACAACTCCTATGAACAGAAGTACACATACATATATATATTTTTTACCTTCAACAGAATAATTTCATGTTTATTTCATTTAGTTTCACATGGATCCCATATAATAAGAATACAGAAGAATTCTGGAGAGTCTTGGATCATTTTTTTTTCTCTGACTTATCATTATCATAAATGCTAATATGAATACATCATACACAATAAACACAGCACTATCCAAAGGCTTAGAGAGAGTATCACAAGACATCATTCACCACTAACAACAGAGTATATTTAATTTCAGCATATTTATAAGAGCTACAATGAAGGAGAGAGAAAAATTAACAGAGGTGAGAAGAGGGGTCGATAGTAAAAGAGAAAGCCAGGTGCTTCTACATTGTCCGAATTAAAGATTTTTTAGTTTTTTTTAATGAGAAGAGGGAATCCAAGGCTGTGCAATGGATTGATATACTGGAGTTGGAAACCATTCCATCCTGAAGAGGACTGTGGGTAGGAAATTTAGCCCCAGTCACCAGCCAAATGCTGGTAAAACATGAAAGTGGCTGGTAGATTTCAGACACATATAATGATTTACTCTGAAACATTTTTCTTTCAGCAGCTGGTTCACATTTTCAAATGTTAATTCCCCACCCTACCAGGCAAGAAACAGCTCTTACCATTGAGCAAACAAGATCTTATAAATCTAAAACAGAGGCCTGGCAGTGGGACAGGTGTATCTATACTGTGAAGACGTATTTATTGCAGCACTTACTTTGTGCTTTGAATAGATTATAGCAGAGCCGCTGTACGTACTGTATATGTGTTGTGCAGTAACCACTAACCTGGATCAAATGTACCAGCCTTGAGCCCTATAGCCTCTCAATTGTGTTTAGGGATGCTTTAGGATATAAGGACGCATGCAGTTAATTGCCTTCAGAAGATAAATTAAGATTGAGGACGCAGGAGAAGTATATATGGAGACATATTGTTCAGACGGCCTCATATTGAAGTGTTTACCATGGCGTAACTAACTTCTTTAAAGTGTCATTTACCTAATACAGTTCTTGTTAGCGTGAGTATGTACGTCACTGTGATAGAAACACTAGTTTAAAAAACTATATGACTCTGTCTGACAACTTTCTGGACCACATAAAAGGCGATCAAAACAGGACGAGGTTCATTGACAACATTTTGTTTTCGATGCCGTTACACAAAATCCAAACAATTAAACAAACACACATTGCTAAAACTTAGTATCCACGGCCCTGATTCACAATTTTCATACTGATAGCACACTATAGCAGTTTCAGAAACAGCACAGCAAATAAGAGATGATGCTACCATGCTCACTAATTTTCTTAACCCTATGCAAGTTCTGATTTTCTACGTCAGGAATTTAAAATATTCTGTGTCTCTCAAGAGATCGTCCTTGCTTGACAGCAATATTTGATGGAAAAATATATATAAAAACATAAAGCTGAAACAACCCTCTGCTATCTTCTATTTTCTTTCATCTACTATATATTACTCTTTTTCTGCTCCCTACTTATGCTGATAATTCTGTACTTTCCATATTTTCTATTATATCTGTTTGCAGCCTTTACCCACGTTTCTTAAATCCAGTTATTGTTGCTGATCAAATAAAAGACAATAATGACAAATTTAAAAAAAGCTGTTCATAGACTTTGAGATGAACAAATAAAAATACTATGGTGGTATGAGTGATTTAAGGGAAATGATGGGCAAGGGCCAAACTATGTGAGCTCCTAAACAGAACCAAAGTTAATGCAATTGAATAACTCTGTGCTCAACATTTGTTGTATAACAACTTATATGGAGGGCACAATTATTCAACTGTGTACATATAATCATATATATCAGCATGTTAATATTTACACAGCACAGACAAATACATTCTCCCAAGTTAAAGATTACTACAATTTTTTTTCTCCATAAATGTAAGTCTTTTCCATTACAAGATTTCTCTTAAATGTTCGTCAACGAATGTTTTGGTATTTGTATTCAAGTTTTTCTCGTATAACCAAACAGACAATCCTCTGTTGTCTTCTACAGTTAAATACATCACGAGAATAAACATCATGTTACAGCAAAGACCCATTTTCCCCCTTATTTCCCCACCCCCCAAAAAATCCTGCTCTCCAGGTGGGATCCCCTCCCCTGGCCCCAGCAGTTTCTTGCCCTCCATGCCTCCCTCCCGCCACCTGTCAACTCACAGATACACAAACAGACACACAGAGGAGTGTGGAAACACAGGTGGTCGTCGAGAGCCACCGTCCGAAATCACAAGGTCACCCTGTGAGGAGGAGAAAGGATAGAGAGGAGGGACACAGAGGGAGACAGAGGGGGGGAAATGATTAAAAAAACAGCAATCCTATGATCGGCAAATCACATGTTGAATATAACAACAAGGCTAATGCTCAACAAATATGGGATCAGAAGCTGATGCTGCACTTTTAAAATGTCTTCTAAGTTTACTGGTGACCCCTGAAGTTATTAAAGCAGGAGCACAAACTGAAACTAAAAGCCTCCAAAACTTGGTTAAATATCTTTTTGTCTTTCACTCGAATGTTAAATATATTCATGACAATATTTGAACCAAGGAAACAGACAAATGTGCAAGCTCACGTTCTATTTGCTATGGCAGCTGCCTCAGGTTGTTTCCTGTTCAAACAGATTTTCATCCGGCCTAATTCAGAAAAAGGCCAATCACAACTGTTCATCTAACAGAGGGCGAGTTTTAAGAGCTGTTGAGGGACTTTTTGTGAACAGCCAAATGACAGCTGAGGCAGTATTTAATTAAGTCGAATGAAGCTCACATTATGTAAAAATGTTAAATGTTGCTGTCTAAATCAGTCATAATGCGTCTGTGTATAATGTTTTACTAGAAACGGAATGGTATGGCTAATCGAGCTAGCCTGCCTAGCAACACACCACTACACGTGTGTTGCTATAATGTGTTTTGCGTTGCAGTTTCAAAGGGCATTTTGTTCTGCGTCTGCTGAGATGACCCTTCAGACAACTTAAGTTAAATTTTACTTTGAAAATCCTTAGATAGTTTTATCGAGTTAAACTAAAAAATCAAGCAGTAACGCAATTTGACCGACATTTCGGTTACTGTAGAAAATCCCCAGGAGTTATTATTTTATGAAAATGCAATTACAATCTGTTTGGTGCGTGTAAAGGCTTGACATATGCATTTAGAACTGAAACAAATAATGAGATTTTGAATATAAATGAATGATTAAAATGAGTAACATCTGTGGGAATCCCAGCCAGTGATGCTTAAGGCTCTGACTGATCATTTCTTAGGCTTTGGGGAGACTGAGTTCAGTCCTAGACGGAGAGGCAGAGCACTCTAAAGCCTTCAAGCAACAACACCAAAAAGCTCTTTCAACCAAGGTTTCCAGACTGTTACAGGGTAGCTGAAAAGTAGTGGAACTTAAAGTGCAAATAGAGCAGGTGAATGCACAAAGCAATGGGGGAGATCCCAGAGTTCTACCTTGACTTTATGCAGCAGACAGTGTCGCTCCTTTTATGTTTAATACTGAATCTAAATTTGTTGTATCATTAAAAAAAAACCTTATGTTGTTTTTCAGGGCAGGTCAGCAACCATTTGCACATAAGAGACCCCTTGTGAAAACATGGGCTGTTTTACCAGGTTATGTTGACATTTTTATTGAGTCTATAACACTTCATCCTGGAGCTATGAGTTTCTGTGATTGGCTATTTTAGATCGCTCAATACTCAGTTTTTGTCTGCTCTCTATTGCAGTGGAATTAGAGTAGAACAGGATCTCTTCTGGGTGTGTATCGACAGGAGGAATCATAACAGAGATCAGTATTGCTTTCAGTGTAAATATTGACACATGGGTAATGTTTCAAGACAGACTTAAGCCATTTTAACAAACGACAAATGCTGTAGAAGCATACCAAGAATATTTCTTCCTATTGCAGAGACTCTCGTTTTTAATATACATGTCTGATTACTGAACTGTGAGCTGAGATTGTTGGCTGCTATAAACTACAGTCAACCTAAACACCTCTTCCTTTTCTGGTTTAAAGGAAGTAATCAGGGCATCTTTATGAAAAACAAAAGGTTAAAGAGAGCTTGCAAAGAATATTGCAACAGACTTTGTGAAAATATACATAGGTGTCATCTGCATAGAGCATAGAACTTTGCTCATATCTTATGCATACAAGAAATGACTAAATGAAAAGTTCACTACTTCACTGAAATATGGATGTATATATATTATGTTATTCTGAGTTATGATTGTAAGTCTCATCATCTCTCATGTATGCTTAAAATCAAAGACAAGCTGAGATCAGTAACTCAAAGATGTACCATCACTGTGTTCAAACACTCACCATCCTGCAGTTGCAGCTGTAGTTTGGCTGGGCAGGCTCACATTTGATTGGCGAAGGAGGTGGGCTGCTGCTGCTGCTCATAGCCCTGGCTGTAACCTCCGTCCTCACTGTAGCCGCCCTGCTGGCCGTATTCTGGCTGGTACCCTCCCTGGGAGCCGGCGTAGGGGTCCTGCTGACCATATCCTGCCTGGCCAAAGGAATCGGGGGCAGGCTGCTTCTCCTGCGATGGGACGTATGTTCCACCGAAGGCAGCCAGCCAGCCAGTCTCCTTGAAGACAAACCACAGGTTTCCTATCCACAGGATCAGGTTGATGAAGCCAAAAGCCTGTGCAGGAGAGAGGTGTTTGAAAAATGGGTTAGTTCAATCTACTGATTCTATCCTCATTTTAAAATCATTGGTGTACTTTTATTTGGTTTGATGCATCTGGGACATACCACAGAGGTGTTGAGTCCAGAGACCTTGGGGTTGTATATCTCACGGCAGCGGTTCTCCTGTTCATCACAGGCTGTGATAAGAGTGATGACCCTCTCTGGATCAGTGGCTGTTTTCACATCTGACAAGCCTTTAGCCCAAGCACATGCCGACACCAGCCACATAAAGGCAAATACCGACGAAATCACAAAGTCCTGGGAACCAGAGCGACAACTTGATTACTTTCACCACCAAAAACAACAACTGGGCATCAATTCTAACCCAAGCTGTGAGAAATGTGAATCATGAACATTTACACTGTAAACTCACAATTTGAGGCCCCTTGCAGTTTTCGCGGTACTTCTCCAGTACGAAGCAGTACACAGAGAGGGCCGCCATAGAGTACAGGAAGGAGAAGACAGCGATGGTGACAAAGAACTCCGCCGAGGAGGAGTAGTCTCCCACCAGGAACAGACGTTCGGGGTTCCCTCCCTTACAGGTGGGGGCATCAAAGTAAACCTGATGGAGCCTGAGAACATGCGGAAAGAGAGAGAAAGAGAGCAATAAAAAACTGTGCATGAGTGGAGACGCAAAAGATAAATGGTAATCAAGATGTGTGAAAGAAGAAGGCAGTGTTTGTCTTATTGCTCTTTCCAATGGTTTTACTGTTAATTCATAAATTTGATCTGAATAAAGGAGTAGGTAGAAACTAAGGAAGCACAATTATTTACTTTCTTTTAAAGCGTCATATGGGAGGATTAGTATTGCAGATGTGTCAGTATAACCCAAGCTAAGTTATCCCTTGTGTAGATCATTGATGTATAATCTAATCGTATCCCACACAATCTTTTAATTACATATGAAGCTATATCCAGGGGAAATTAGCACAGAACGAAGACTTGGAAGAAACAGCTAGACTTGTTCTGTCCAAAGGTTATAAAATCTACAGCACTTTGACTCAAAAGTTACAACAATGTAACTACAGTGAGTTCTGTTAAAGAAACAGTACAGACCTTAACCCCTTGTTTATCTGCAATTTGAGGTATTTACTCATGTGTAGGCGTATTTACTCTTTTTCAAACGTTTGAATAGATAGCCGCTTTCTGCTGCTAAGTCTACGCTAAGCTAATTATCTCCCTGATATAGCTTTGTATTTAGCTTACAGCCAAGAGAGGGATATCAATCTCCTAATCTGACCTTCAGCCCGTAAGAAAGGTTGTGTAGAAAGTGTTCCCCAAAATATTGTACTGCTGCTTCAACCAACATATTCTTGAAAATGTAGACTAATCACTTGGATATAACTTAAACGGCTTGTTACCTCAGCTAATTTTTGTATAAATTGGGATTAAAAGCCAATATTGAATAATTCCTTTCAAATGTGAAAAATAAAAGTATCACATATTTTATTCCATTTATGTGAATTATAGATTTTGAAAAATACATGTACTTGAATTATTATACAAAATGCAATAGTTGGCTCTGATTGGCTCCTGAGTTACTTCTTTTGACAATCCTGCTAAGTGTGCATTTACACTTTCTGAGAGCCTACAGTTACATGTTTCTATCCGTCTACAGCAGTTGTGACAGTAGTTTACGTACCTGAAGGGATATTCGAATTCTACGTCTATGTCTAGATCACTCTCCGACCGGTTTTTACACTCCACGCTCATCTTGAACATGCCGGAGTAACTTCCACATGTTGAGAAGGCGAAGATTGCAAAGATCTGAGGAGGAAGAGATACAGACGATTAATCTAGTGACCTGGCAGACAGATATTTATAAAAAAAAAAAGATGTGATGATTAGTTCAACATATACTACAGTTTTGTTAAGACTATGTGTCAAACAGGTGGCAGCTCTATTTAGACTGCACATTCAACTGCTCAAAGATGCAGACCAAGCGCAAATCAATACAGCGTTATCACTTGGTTTCCCAGCGAGGGCTCCGTCTGTTACCATTATGACCTGTATGTTTCATGGCATATTCTGTGTATTTATCAGTAACTGTGACTTTAACTTTAGGACAACAGACTGCAGCTCACACTTACAGTCACGACAGGGGTACAAACAGACATGCGTGAAGATAATCTCACGCTCTCTCCCTCACTCACACACACACACACACACACACACACACACACACACACACACACACACAACAGATTAGGCGGGTCAGACTATTTTTACCACACCCTCCCTGCACTGCCGGCCAGATCCGATTGGACGGACAATCCAACAATTAATCTGACCGAGGTGCTCCACCATCTGTCACCAAGTACTCTGTGACAAGCTACTGCAAAGCCAGCCACAACACCCACACAAGGCCACACCCACACACGTGAGCTCGTACTACTGTCTATCCACCGCAGGCATCAACACACTAAACTATTTACAGTAATCTTGTAGCTGATGTGAGTCAGAGGCTTGTTTGTTGGATTTACACACACCTGCTGCCTGAAGGAGGCCTCATTGTGTTCACTTTACTCATCCGTTATTTGTTCCTGCAGAGTTTTCTTCTGCCAATATCTCCAACACCATCCCTTTTCTTTTGTGAGCGAATTAACAGGTTTTACTAACACAATAACAAAGACTGCAAATTTGGAAAGGGACAGAGTTACTATGAGAGGGAGAAGAGGAGACTGCTGGTAAACAACAGTTTATTATATAATTGAAGGAAAGAAAAAAAATCAGTTGCCATCTGGAGCAGATTGTTTGAATTATAAATGAGATATGCCTATTAGTATTTGCTATATTATCATTTGAATGTTACTTAAACCATAATATGAAAATGTATTGCAGTTTTATGCCTGCATGTCTGAACCAGTTAACGTCACTGACTAATGTTAAAGTCCTTTTAGATATTGTTTTTGGTGCAACGTTCATTTGTGTCTTTAAGAGTGTATGAAAAATCCAAAGTACCAGATGGGTTTTATGTCGTGCTTTCCCTTTAAACCCAAAAGAGAAAAACAAAATGTAATGCTGCAGCAGATGTGCAAATAATCCATACCTACAGCATGTGCAACATTTAATAACTGCAGGGTTGGCTAAATCCTTCACACAGTGTGCATTGTGGGTTATTTTATCCTTAAAGCTACATGTCATCAGTTTCATTCTCTTCACTGTCTTATTGCACTCATAGCCACTTTAATTTGTTTTTAAGACTATTAGAAGGTTTTCGAGCGCCCAGTGTCCATATCATGTATCATTATCGCTCTGAGACAGTTAGAGGTTAAGATTTAATGAGAAGGATCAATATGGAGACAAACATCAACAACATGTTGTGCTCCATTTGACTGGGTCTTGCTGTTTATGTCACATATAAAACACATTATGAGAAAATGGGAACAACGGCTGGAGGTCATCTCAGCAACAATCAGCACTGATTTTTAACTGAGTCAGATTTACAGTGTCATGAGTCAAACATTTTCATCACAGCGTCAGCAGGATTTCATTGGGAATGCAAAATATTTACATCTTGGAAATGTATAACCTACAGTAAGCCGATGGTGCTTTTAGTTTCATTATCAGATGGAAAAGAAGATTTTTATAGCATAGTTACTGAGGCTGTTTTGAATGTTAGTTTTGCAGGTAGACAATATTATCAGGAAGCAAATCATTTTCGAGAAAAGTTAGTGGATCAACAAAGTAAGTTGCATTTGACTTCAAGGAAAAATGAATAAAATCTAGTGCCAATCATTTCAATAGTTCTTGAGATGTATACTGTTCAACCAGTGTGGCATTTCTCACCCCTAGAGCCATGCTACTCGCATAGCTAAAAAGCAGTAGAAAAGTAAATCTGAATTGTTGGCGCCACACCACACTCAAGAGTGGTACTTTAATGGTGATAGATGAGTTGAAGGAGGAGTGATGAAGAGTGGGGACGAGATGGAGGGCCAGTCAGACTGTGAAAAGAAATGGTGTAACGCTGAGTGTTAGGTGCCATGGTAACACTGTTGGCAGCATCGCACGGTGAGGAGGCAGAGGTTGGTTTCTAGCCCAGCTGGCATGCTGGAACGGTTTGTCAGCTCTTCTGTGCTGAGAAGATGTACAATCGTACACACTGAGACACAAATGATCTGTCTCGAGAGTGATTTTCTCACACAGCCTGTCTTTCTGAACGTTTGTTTCTCTGTAACCAACAGTAGAGTCTGACTTGTTATAGATTTTTGAATAGATTGATTTCTGAAACGTACAAAACCCATAAACACAAAATATTTCCTTTTTCCTTAAAAAATATTTTGTACAATTTTCAATTTTCAGTTTATCATTCCTCTCTTATAGCATTATTAAGCTTAGATTTGTATAAGCCTATTCATATTATGTATTTTGTTCTTGTTAGTCCAGGCTAGTTTCCTCTTATGTATACTAATTTAACATGCTCTTGTAAATAGTCTGTGATGTCATTAAATACTTACAAGTACGTGTCTATTTCATGCCAGATATATAAAGGACTAGCAGCCAAAAGCACAAAGCACAGACATAGTACTGTAGCTGTGGAAGGCCCTGGAGTAATAACCCCAGAGTCACCAGTGTCTGAACAACAAGATCCCCTCAGCTCCGACAAAATGAGCTGCCTTTATCACACGTTAGGGATTACACTAAAGCAAAAGAGACTCTATGTTCTCTCTCCCAAAGAGCCGTTTCATGTTTGCAGGGAGTGAGTCAGAAGGTGGAATTTGAATGCAATTGAAATTCAACAGATATACTCAGACAGTGATATTCTGCACAGTTGTAGAGGCGGGAGGCAGGCGCGCTGTTTTCGTACTCGAGGGTTGAGCTCCACATTAGCTTTATTTGGGAACTCAACGTCTTCCAACATCCATCAAATCTAGGCTTTGTCAGCATTCTTCCCCAGAGACAGAGAAAGAGAGAGAGATAGAGAGAGAGAGAGAGGGGGGTGGGAGTTGAGTAAAGCTATGAGTCACACATACAGATTGCTGGTGAAACGAGACAAAAAATGGTTCTCAGAAGCTTTCACAACTAATTTTCATCATCCAACGCCAGATTTTTTAAAAATCACAAGCTTGCACCTCTTCATCCCACACACTTGAATGCATTCCACCAATCAAATCCATTGTAGACTTATCTCTCGAATCACATATATGATTATGAACACTGCAGACAAAATGCTGCTTTATCTTTCCTTGAAAGGATATCAGCACGTCTCATCATTTTATACTGGTGGCAACAAGAAGCCATTAAAGGTTTGATTCTACTTTACTGAAGCATCCTTTTCATTGCTGCCTGTTTCCGCAGAAAAGAGGGCTGGCTCCCCTCTCCCCTCCTAAAAAATCTCTGTGTTGATGCTCGTGCATGCCCATATTAATCCAAAAAAAAAAAAAAGCAGCAGCCAGCTCCTCCTCCAGATCTGACGCGGAGGCACGCAGGCACGCACTGACAGATGATTCATGGGCCCTGGCCTCCCGAGCGGGCCTCCTGATTGGTGGTTCAGCTCGCTGTGACCCAGGGAGGCAGCGATGAGGTGCTGGCACAATCACAGCTCCAGGGAAGGACTACAGAGTCATGCAGCACACTCATGCCTCTGACTGCTCGCTGGCATATCTGCAGAGCCCATTACAGTTTGGTACTCTGCAAGAGCTGCTTTTGGCACGCACGTTTGCATCTGGGTTGTGTTAAAATGTGTTCTCATACCGAGGAGCAGAGGTGTAGCTAAGAATTATGGCAACCAGTGCAAAGCAAGGACAACCCCCTCCCCCATCCCCTCTCCTTCAAACCCTCACAAAATATATGCATCTTATTATGTTACATAATCAATGTTGAGATCATTCAAATTATTCATGCTCCAAGTTATGTTCATAATTTCATTTAATCTACCAGTTATTCCTGTTAAATTGTTTATTTTGTCTATTTAATGTCAAACAAATCCTGTTATCTTTTTCCACATCCCAAGGTGACCTCTTCAGATAGTTCATTTTGTGATAGCCATTATCCAAAAGATACTTTATTATCAAATTTTTCAGCTCAAGAAATGACTTGAAACCTTTAAACCAGTAGCTTAAGCAAAACCTCAAACCCAAACCAGCCAGAACCAGTCCAAAGCACCTCAAGGGTTAAACATATCATAACATGAGAAGAGACACACAAGTTAAAGGCCCTCAGTTGGCTGCAGGGTGTGCAGGTATAATTAGAAGAACTATTCCCAGCACAGTGGAGCCCCAGCTGTAAAGAGGAACCACTGTTTACCCTGCAGCCAGCTCACTGAGAGCATGCTGCTGCTGCTGGTAGAGGACAAACACTGTGCATGACCACATATTACACTGAGAAATCTGTAGGAAGATCTCCTAATTCAATAAGCTTCTATTCATTGTAAAATGGTCACAGACTGATCTATACTAATGCTACTAACATTCATTTTCATTATTTTGGAGATTATTTTACAATTCATTTAATGAATAAATACTGAAAAGCAAAATGGTAACAAAATGGTCATTACAATTTTGAAAAGCCTGAAATGATGTCCTCAAATCAGTTGTTTTGGATAACAGAAAAACTGGAGAAATAATCTTTTTACAATTAACTGAAAAAAGAAAAGTGAATTGATTTAATCATTCTAAAAATAGACACAGTAGTTGCTAATTTGCCGAACTGTTTCAACCCACATTATGTTATGGGTCAAACATCTTTTTCACATCAATTTTCTAATTATCTTAATGTAAACCTTAAAGACAGGGCACAATCATTAAGTATGTTCTGCCTAATGAAACCCTTTTAAATCAAAAATAAGAAAGAAAAAAACTCCCCCTTCCTATTCAAGTGAAGAAATGTAAATGTCTTTTGATGCATTGGAAATTTGTTTCCAAAAAATGTCATGCCAATAAAGACTTAAATAAAAAAAAAGAATCAGAAAATTCTTTATCCATTTATGATCCTCTCATTATCGACAGCCCCCTAAGTGAACAGTTTTCTGGCTCCATCATGTGGTGAAGTAGACTGGGCACATAAAGACAGATGTAATAAACTGCAATAGTATGCAGAGGTCACGTCCTCTGAGAAGGATTTGACAAATTGTCATTATATTCCTCGGTGAGCTGACATCTAGTGTTACTACAACTGTGACGTAACACTACTGCTAGTGTCTCCGGCTCAGGCCTGCTGGGGCAGCATCACCGCCAACAAGGATACTCCTCAGCACTTATCTACAGCCGCTTCTGCATACATTTAAAGAGTAATTACATTAAATGATGTAGATTCACTGAAATGGTTCTAATGACAACATTTTAATAATACATGTTTGACAATAAATCCCCACGAGAGAGGGTCCAACTGGGCAGCTTTTCCCCCCAGTCACATCCATTATTAAGCCTCATGCAGCTTTATGACCTCTGTGTGACTAAAGGTCACATATCTGTCAGAAAGAGATTCTGCCACGTTATTTATTGCAAACTACACAACTTCCAAGTGTTTTTTTTCCCCTTTTTAAATGCAATATATTTTTGTTAACATAAGAAACATATCCATGCATTTTTCGATGCTTGCACACATAAACAAAACTAGACTTACCCATTGAAGAATTTTTATAAATCCCAGAGGTTGTTTGATTATTGTGAATTGCCCTTGGGCCACCAACTGCAAAAAAAAAAAACAAGAAAACAAAATGAGTTAATTTCCATTAACATCCTCACACTGGCACTTTTGCTTTTACTGTGGAAACTGTTTTCTCAGTAGAGCATGCTTAAAGATTATTATATGATGATGCTCATTCAGAAAAAAACCTAATAACCTCACCCATGTTTAGCCTGTAGGCCTCCAGGCTAAGTGCAGGCCACTTACTGGTGTTTGATACTAAGCAAATTTCTGCCAAGGAAGAAAGTGACTCACAGCTGGTTTCTTTGTGAACCTTTCAGATGCTGTACAACTACAGGAGATTCATTCTGATGTAGACTTCAAAGGCCAGCGTGTGTGTGTGTGTGTGTGTGTGTGTGTGTGTGTGTGAGAGAGTGTGTGCGTGTGGGTGTGTGTACGTGCTGTGTGTGAGAGATAGAGGGAGCTCTTGCCAGCATTACAATTAGACAAAGCTGATTAACTGTCTGTTTTCTGTGGTCTCTCTCTACTCCCTACACAGCACTCTTTCTTTTTATTTTATTTTAATTCAAGCATGACCAAATCTCGCGAAATCTGTCTAATTGACGAGACAGAATTAAAGGGGGGGGGGGGGGAGCGTTTGTGCGCAGGTGAATGCGACACCGCAAAGAAGGCGGTGTGTCCCTGTGTGCATCAATAAATGGCCGCACTGGAATCAGCAGTAGTGATATTTTTTTTTTTTTTTCTCGGAGGCTCATTGTTTCTCATTGAAGCCAAACATCAATATTAAACATAAGAAGCATGCACTGATAATTGCACTGTCCCAACCATCCTGACAGAAGCGTATTTTCTGGTTATTTCTCCTCATTGCTGGCTTTGTCACAAAACGCACACAGCTATCAGGGAGACGAGCTGTCCGCGGCCATGGAGATATATGCCGTGTCTCAGGCCTATACTGCGGCTAAACAAGCACCGACGAGGCCCCCTTAGATATAAACCACATTCCTCTTTGTTATCGTAGCAACAGCAGGCTAATTGAGACGTGAGCAGGCTAAATCAATTAGCAGAATCCCTGGAGATAATAGGCGACATCCTCCCCTCTCTATTGCTAAATGTCATTGCTGCAGAGCTCTCTGGACATCCTATACATTTCAGGGCTGTCAGCGGGCCTCTCCATCACCTCGACCGCAGCATCAGTAGTGGAAAAAATGTCCAATTACATCGCGCTCTGTCGTGCCTTTACACCGATGCTGTTTTTTTTTTTGTTTTGTTTTTTTAAAGAAATGCATTCGTTACAATTTAAATTCTAAGGGATGGAAAGCTGCGTTAAAATTGTAAGGTCGAGACATCATGAGAAAAATATATTTCATTGAGCGCACGACACAGACAAAATATTCAAATCACATGAACATAAGCACCCGAGCAAAAACGTTAATGAATTACATGATTTTCCCCCAAAAGCCTTACCTGGTTTACAACGTCCATCTTGGGCGCTTACTCGCTGATAAGAGGATCAGAGGGGCGGAGGGAGGGAGGGAGGCGTCTCATCTGGAAGAGACCAGGAGAGGAGGGGGCAGGACAGCCAGGATGGAAGAGCCGGACTGCGTCACGACCTAGTAGAGGATGTGCAAAGGCGTCGTGACGTCGGGCGACGAAGTAAAGACGGGTCGACTTGTCTGTCCAATAGCAGCGCAGCTTTATTCTAAGGCAGCTGAGATTGCCCGGCGGGTTGTTGTAACGCAGAGAGGGAGCGCATGGAGACTGTTCGCGCTTTAGTATAAAACAAGAAGGAGCGGTGAAGAGGAGCAATGAAAAGGTCGAGGGAGGTTCGTGAACTACCTGCTGGTAATTATCTGGCAGCACTTTAAGCTGAAGGGGTAGCATTGTTATGTAGGCTAGTGGAGTGCTCCTAACAGGGGTCAAATAAATGACTAGTCAAATGAAAGACAGAAACAGATTTAAAGAGAAAAGGCGTCAACGTTTATTAAATTAACAGAAAAACAAATCATGAGACACTCAGCTCAACTTTCAATGTCTTATAGGCGGGACCATGGCTTGGGTAAAGTATTTTGGTGCTTTCCGAGGAGGAATTCAGTGTCACACTTCTTTATTAATTATAAAGACTCCTTGTCACGCACACCGTAAAAAACAAAAAGTCATGATAAGATCAAATTCTAAGTTAGTTTTACTTCAAGTCTATGAAAATGTTCGGTTAGTTAAATATTATAGGTTTATGTCACCTCAACTAATTAAAAGATTTCCAGCTTTGAAAAGTGATTCATATTATCTTAAAAATGGCGAGCTCTATTTTCAATTGAGAGGAGTTTTATTCTTACCTCGGTGTAGCATCTCGGGGATGTGGATGGAGATGTACCTGTGCTGGGCAGTGAGTCTGAACGTGCTCTTTTGTAATCTGGAGAGTGGCTGGATTTCCCAGTTTTTCTTGGTGAGAGAAGATGACATGCTCATGATGTCGAGTCTTTTGGAACAGTGGTTGAAAAAGTTGGCAAAACAATTCTCCAGGGGGTCAAGGTCGGTTGAAATTGTATTCCAACTTTAGAAAAAGAAAAAGAAAATGGAGTTTGTAGAGTGAATACAGAAAAAAATAATAATAAACATGCTTAACAGTCTGATCAGAGTTGTTTGTTGTCGTGTAGCAGCTGGACGCCGCCATCATGGATCTCGCAATGTCTCGGGAGAGTTGCGATCACAGTGGCATTGGACTTCCTCCTGGCCTCAACACCCGAATCGCACTGATTGAAGCTGTACACCAAGAAGTTCAATCTCTACATCAAAGCCTTGAATTCAGCCAGGAACAACTTCCCACAAACTCTGTCAACAACAAAACTTTCCACCGTGTTCACCGTCTTGGAAGGAAAGACAATAATAAGAGAGACAGACAGAGGGAAACTAACACCATACAAGAGGAAGGGAGGGGCTGCTATGGATAAACCATAACAAGTCACCTTTGATTGTTATTGGGGAGTTGCAAATGCTGGATATGGATGAAAATAAATTGTGAAAAAATGATGGTTCATCAGAGTTTGGGCCATAGAGATGACCTATTGTTAATGAACTATTGTTGATTGATATGTTTATGATAACGAAACGTCCTTCTGGGTCTGTGATTGTGGTGTTGTGAATAAAAGACACTGAGTTTTTTATTAAAAATACATACTCCCCTGTGTGTCTGGAGTGCATGGCTGTGTGTGAGTGCAGGTGGGCATGGTTATCTTTACAGGCTTGTAGAGATCAGAGGTCATGCAAAAACCTCTAGAATTACAAGATGTTTATAGGCCAGTTTAACCTAAAATAGCATTTCTTGAAACGTCACACAGTCCACAACAGAATTATTTTAACACATAAACAAAATATGGTGCTCTTTCAATTAAGAAAATATGAAAAGTGTGCTGTACTGTGCCCTTCTATGGAAGAAAATGTTGTGACTTTACCTCTACAGTGCATTTTACTATGACAAAAAAAAAAGAAGTGAAAAGCACCCTCAAATATGCCCCTTCAGTGGAGAACGTATGATGAAGTTCCCACTGTGTTGCACACCAGTGGAAAACGGGATGACAGGTCAGTTTTGGAGCTCCTTTGGTTGGGAAAGTTTGATGAAATGTGATTTAAGGTGCCTGCCCTTCCAGTGGAGAAAATGTGTGAAGTTCCCCAAATCACAACACTCAAAAAGAAGAGATAAATTGCCCTCCAAGGTGCCCCTCTAAAAGGTGACAAAAGGCCCATACAGTATGTTACCAAACGTGCGCTCTTGCCTGCTCCTATGGTAGAGAAAACATGATGAAGTTTCCAACAAGGTGTCCACTACTAGTGGATTTAACAGCATCACCAAAGATAAAAACTCCTAATGCATTTTAATTGTAATAAACTTGTTGATCTCTTTGTCTTTTTTTTACCTGAAAATAAAGTTGAAATCTTAACCAGGGTCTCAAACTATTCTTCTGTGTTAGTGCCCACTCAGTCAGCCTTAGTTCACCCCTGACTACAGAAGAAGAGTGTTTCATTTAGTATTTAACAACACGCACACACATGGATTACTACTTGTTTCTTTTTGTCTTAAAGGGGAAATGAAACCCAGATGTCGTCCATCTGCCGGTCCATTAATTGCTGATTATGTAATTCACTCTCATGTATCTTTTGCTGTAGTTTTTTAACATCCACTAAAACACTGCTCAGGAGTGACCCAAAATGACCTTTCATTGAAGTTCGATGCGATCTTGGCGCTGTAATGGCGACAGGTGGCGATAGCGTCTCTCTGTGCGTCTAGTTTTTCTAGTTTGTTTAGTTGAATTGAAGTTCAAAGTTTTGAGTGTTATTATCACTGCAGAGAAAGAACTATTCAAGAAAAATACAAGTTGAGAAAACAAAGCTTTTTTTATTTGTAGTTGCAAAAACTCCTAAACAAACCTTAGCACGTTATAAACAAGAGGATTTTTTTTTTATTATTCTGTACATTTAAATCATTATCTAAAATAATGCCAATGCTGTTAAGCTGTCACAAATGATTGTGGTTCTTGTCATTAGTGCAAGTATGAATGTTGTTTTTTTTTTAATTCTAATAGTTTTACCATATTCTATTTTGACAGTTTGTACAAGGGTTTTGAAGTGACACAAATTCAAGTAGAGTAAAAAATAAGAACACAATGCAAAAATATGCATCTTGGTTGAGAGCCACTTCTCTGTTGCATGCAGCGAACACTTCTGCAAAACACAACAGTCAGTGTTGAGGTCTGCCAAATACTGACGTACTATTACCAGTTTGTGTATGAGATTATGTGTGTGTGTGTGTTTTGGCATTCATAATTAAAGCATATCTTATCACTCCAACATGACATTTCACCTTGGAAGAAAATTACACTAAATTTTTTATCAAGTCATACTTACACACGCTGTCCTGTCTGCTTTCTTTTTCACAATGGCAGACAAACACCAGATAAATGGTGTTTTTTATGTTTTGTACTTCACTTTCACCTACACACACACACACACACACACACACACACACACACACACACACACACACACACACACACACACACACACACACACACACACACACACACACACACACACACACACACACACACACACACACACACACACACTTATTTCACTTTTGCTGATCTCAGTAAGAAATCACACAGTTCATTTCATCAGCCAGCTCGTCCTCAAAGCGAGACATCGACTGACTGGCGCCTCGAGCTATGAGGTCAGCAGCGGCGTTCTCCATCTCGTCCAGGCTCATGTGACAGGCTTCAGCGATCTCCCTCTTGGCGAAGCTCACAAACTTTGGATCCCTGGCGTAAATACCGAGACCCTCCGAGATCAAGATCTGACATGAACAAGATAGAGAGAAAAAAACAAAGTAGAACAATGATGATGATGTAACCCAGGGATTATGTTTTTAGCCACTCATGCTGTTTCTCTGACACGCAAATATTACATGCATGTCTCTCTGACTCCGTTTTAGCTGGTCTAGAAGTCGTTTGACAAATTGAAATGCCCTCCGCTGTCCAATCAGAGACAACTTTAGTTCTTTTTATTACAATGTTAAAGTTAGGCAGCGGGCAAATGTTCCTGGATTTAAAAATGAGAATGAAAAAGATTTAAACATTATTCTCTCTCTGCAGTACAACAACTGCAATAAAATAGCACAAAACTTTATAATCCAATATCACCATTCCCAGTCACTATCTTATTTTCCTGCTCATATTAAGGATTTGTTTTCTTTCTATCACTTTATGAGAAATAAGTAGTGCTTACAGTGTTAAGAAAGGTATGGGGATCGTGTTATTTTAAAGGAAAAAAAAAATCACAACAATTTGAGGTTGTCATAAAGACAATTGACAAGTTCACAATGGACATGGAAACAGGTTAAACCGGCTCGACGCGAGGCTTTGTCTTCTCTGAGGCAATGTTGGCAACCACTGCTCTAGCTAACTGGATACAGGGTTTGTGCTATGAAGTTGTACATTCAAGTATTTACGCTGCATTCTTTCAATAAACAAATGAGAAGATAACCAAATGGACTAGCAACAGTGAAGTCATCCATACGTTTGTGAACTCTCTCCTGAAGCCTCATGTTTAACAGGAAGTGACCATATTTATACATCAGGGTGGAATGTCTCTCTTCTGATTGACAGGTTTCTGTCGAAGCAACTTGTCAATCACAAGAGGCTTGGCCCTAAATCACACCCTGATTATCCCAGGTGTTTACTAAATGGGAGCATCACTCATAAATAAACATCACATCTGTGTTGAAGAATGGTTAACACTTCAATCGAGATCTTAACCTAATAAGGAAATGTGTTCTGAAGTTATTTCATTTTCTCAGCTAGTTTCATACTATCATCATTCTTCTGTTGCCAGTGCAGTCTCCCCCTGCTGGCCATTAGAAATAATGCAAATGAAAGCACTTTTGCATTGGCATCACGTTTTAAGGCAAGAGGCTTTGTTGACTTTTTATATACAGACTGATTCTTACTCACCGATTCGACCAGGCTGTCTGCACTGCCTTTGTCTATGAAGCTCTGGTGTTGGGGCGGCATCCTCACGCTGGTGAAGGTCTTGGTCTGACCTGGATGGAATCCAGGACGGGTTCCTACAGGGAGGCTGGCAGTGCCGTCGCTCCACAACGGCTGGCTGGTGCCTGTGGCCTCGTCTACCAGGATCATGGGTGTGTAGATGAGCTTCCCCCTGCGGGCTGAGGGGGCGATTATCCTAGGAGGAGCAGGGGTAGCCCCGGCTCCTGTTGTGTTCACCCAGGAGGCGGTCGACATGGAGGACACACTGCTCCGTCGGGAGTCTGGGAGGCTCTGCTGTGTCTGAAACAAGAGAGAGAGAGAGAGCAGCAGAAGAACAGTGAATGAAGATGATACAAACTAGGTGTTTGACATTTTTAGAGTGTGTTTTGTGTGTGTTGTTTGTCTACCTGTAAACGGGATCTGGTTGGAGTTGTGCTTCTACTGTAGCTTCCAGGGATGGGGAGGTTGTCCACACTGCTTTGTGGCCTCAGACACTGGAAGTTAAAGGCAGGTGCACGACCTGAAACAGTAAGCAGGGAGGTGTTAGGAAAATGTACAGGATCCATGCCATTAACCATGTGTGGAGGGAAAAGGCAAAAGCATCCCTAAACTAGCCTACAATGGACCTCAGGACAGAAATAATGGGGCGTTCAATTTGATCCCGGAAGTCGGAAATTCCGAGTTGCCGGTCTGATACGTCATCAGGAAAGCCCCCCCCGAAGTGGGAAATCCAACTCGGAAACTCAGAGCAACTTCATGCAACGTCCGAGTCGCTTGTCCAACTTGTGCAACTGGAACGCGGTTAACTCGTGATGTGACACCATTCCCAGCGTCGAGATCCGAGGTCAGAGGTAAATGGAACGCACCATGAGCCCGTCCTTAGCATCCACTATTTTTTTATCATCTGATCATAGCAAGGGTATGCAATTTATTTCAAAAGAATTGTATGTTTTAATGTTTTTAATTCTCTCTAAATACCGGCAGCAATCAATAAACTAAATGAACTTTTGATTAATCTAGGTGTAGGCCAGTGTTTTAGATCATTGAAATAACACATGAAGTGTGTGCATCACCATGAAACAATGGCTGCAACTAAAAATGTAAAAAATGCTCATCATTATTTCCTTGAGGTTAAGGTGACACAATGAAATTAAAATATATTCTTTAGTTTACTTCCACATGCATATCACTACAAAAATAAGCCAATGAAATCAGAAAATCCTCGTGTGAAAAGTCGGAACATTATAATGTTTGGGAGTTTTTGCCTGACAAATAACACTTCTAGTTGAAGGTGAACACTTGAAGCGCTAATGGTTTGTAAGTTATTAGTATGATTTCATACTGCACACACACACACACACGTACAAAGCCCAACGTTTTCCGCCTTAAGTAGAAAAAAAAAGGCTGTCATTTCTCACCTTTAGGTATGGAAGGAAGCAGCCGTCGCCTGACAAATCCTGAGCTTCCGTTCTCCTTTCCATTGATACTGTTCCCATTGCTGCTACTGTCAATGTATGTAGTTCCATTACCATTGTTGCTGATGGTGCTGCCATTCTCATTGTAACCTGTGTATCCATTCCCGTTATATCCATTTGAGTTATAGGGTACGGGGCTTGGAGCGACACTCCCTCCGTTCATGTTGGTGCCGTTATAACCGTCGCTGACAAAGTCGTTTGCAATGTGTGTGTCGTAGGGAATCTCCTCCATGTTGCTCTGTTCAATGTTCTCTGGGTAAGCTGGTAAAGGAGAGGGAGCTTCTGGATACTCGTACCTAAAGGAAACATACCAAAAGTACCAGGATAGACGTGAAACAAAGTGACTCCAACAAATTGTCCAAATATGGTCACTTCTGGATCCAAAGATGAAAACAGCCAAGCTGCCCCAATTTGAGGCTTCGAAAGAATAGTGCATAAACCAACAGGCTGCTACATCAGTTCTTACTAACAAGCTGTAGTCTGTCTGTTAATGTAAGGCAAGGGCTGGGAAATGGTTAGCTTAGCATAAATATGTGAAAAAAGGAGGATTCAGTTAGCCTGGCTTTGTTCAGGCATAAAGACATGCGAATACCTGAACCTTAAGATCATTAATCAAAATGTTATCACTTGTTTGTATAAGCTGTAAATAGAGAAGTGTTCATATTTAACAGACCAGTCTTCTAACACTTTTGCAAGCTGGCTGATTTGTGTGTTCAAGCTTCTTTATTTGTTCCTTTATAACTCATTTACTGTACCTCTATTTTCTCTCCTGGTTTTTCTTACCTGTCAACTGATGCAGCATCCCCTTCACTGTAGTAAACCTGCTCAGATGCTTCGGTTGTAGCCGCCACAGCTGCTCCATCAACGACATCCGCTTCAACTACTATCTCTGGGGGAGGAGGTGGAGGAGGAGGAGGAGGAGGAGAAGGAGGAAGGGGCGACTCGCAGACGGAGTCCACCCTGAACGAGCATCGATTTGAGGAAACAAATGATTAGAATTGGAGGACCAATGAGTGAGTGTAAGGCAACATATAAACACAGCTTTATATAAAACACACCTGATGGGCAGGGGTTCAGACTTCACAGGCTGCTCGGTGACGACGCTGACGCCTGCCAGCTCTGATCCTGGTCTCTGGTGCTCCTGCAGGCCCGTCACCTGCTCTGTGATCACGGCCTCGATGTCCGCCGTGGGCTCCATCATCACATATGTCTGCTCCACCAGTGTTTCTAACGGGGGCAGCGGTGTTGTGCAGGGTGTGTTGGGCGCTGAGGTTCCAGCTTCACTCTCGAATATCTCATCACATGCCATCTCCCCCTCAACTCCCTCCTCTTCTTCAAGGTCACAGACCATCGCCAGACGCATCTCTGGAGCCAAGTCCTGCAGCGTCCGGAGCCCTTGCTAAGAACACAGAAATAACATAAACTTACAGTGTGCACTACAAGTGTGTGTCCCTCAAGTCCCTCTCAAATGTATCTTGATTATTATTTCCTCATTTCAAAGTCTGATCTTGATGTACGCCACAGGGAAAAGTGTATTTCTCCTCACAGTCAATCTGAGTTAACGCCTGCAGGATTTTGTGACATCACAACTTATTTGATAGCCAATCAAGAACCAGGACTCTTTTTAAGAACTTCTGGGGAACAGACACTGAAAATAGACTTTTAAATGACCTAAAGACATCTTCTGTCTTGTACTAAAACTTTAGAATAAAAATAAAAATGCACATCGACAGTGTGGGTTTTTCATGGTGTAGAAGAATATTGTTTTAACTGGTAAGGTAATTTAATAGTTTTGTAAGAAAACTCTAAAAAGGAGTCCTTAAAAACCCTTCACATGTTTGGAGAAGGCTTCACAAATAAAAAAAAACACATTTTTCATTCACCTGCAGAGAAGCAGCCTTGTCCTTCCTTTTGGATTTTCTTTCCCTCTCCTTCCTCTTACGGAACTTCTTGAAATAGTCCTGAATCAAGAAACTTGCGTAAAACTTCCCGCAAGTCACCTCATCCCCTGAGAAGGAAAGAAAAGGTTATTTATTAAAATGTGGAGAGCTAAGAAGAAGTGATGAAGTGATTTATTTTATATTCTACTAGTTTTTTCCAGTTTACAATATATTTGTATGATTTTTTATGCGGCAGCTTTTAGGAGAATCTCTTGGCTGGAGTTGATTGTAATGATTATTTTTCTATCCTGGCTGGCAGCTATGTTCTAGTTCACCTCTAGGGGGAGGAATGACTTCATCAATGAGCTTGGGTTTGGTGCGCTTCCAGAGCTTCTTAATGATCAGCTTCAGTTCCTCATTCTGCTGGTCGATAGGACCTGAATGGGATAAAGGAAACAAATCCTTAAACTGCACCAAGTGAGGCAGCCTTAACAGCAGCTCAACAACAACACAGACACAATGAGCATGTATCACAGTCTGAGTGTGAGGTCTGACCGTCAGTCTTGATCTTGAGGGAGGTTCGCACCAGAGCAAACAGAGTAGCACTGAAGGTGACTGTCCCATCAGTGTGCAAGGGGACGTTCATGGCAACCAATCTCTGAGAGGAGAAGTGGACGAGATAGGAAGAGTGAGATTCATGACCCCGTTCGAGTGTGTGTTCATCAAGTGCACGGCTGTGTGTTGACTTACTCTGCAGGCGACACGATGAGGACACAGTTTACCAAAACCAAGAGGAGGCTGAATCCTTCTCAGCATTGTGACAACATCGTTGTGTTTTATTCGACCCCTACAGGAGGACAAACGGCAGATATTAACAGACAGTTCTGTGAACAAACAACAACAGAGCTCAGCAGGAGAAGTCGAGGCTTCAAGAGGGTCATTCTTACGTGGCCTCGGGGTCGTAATCAGACCAAACTCTCTTGAACTCGTCCAGGTGGTGAGTACCCAGCACGGTCCAGTCCCTCGTCAGGTACTCAAAGTTGTCCATGATGACAGCAATGAACAAGTTGATGATCTTAATAGAGACAAATACAGAAATAGTGAAAATGCATGTGACCATTGTGTTGTTAGGACAACTGGAGAGAGACAGGAAATGTTGGGAGGAGAGAGCGAGGGAAGGACATGCACCAAAGGGCCGAGTGTTTGTTAGAACTCATGGCCGCTGCGATGAGGACTGAAGCCTCTGCACATGGGGCGCGTGACATACACGAAAGGCTATCCAGCGCCCCCTAATGTGTCAGTTTTAACAGATTTGCTTGATGACACTAAACATAACATACACATTCTGCCAGTCTTGCTGTACAGACATTTTCTTTGGTAATTGGTTGTTAGAGAATCATCTCGAAAGACAATTGTAAACAAAATACAGTTCAGACTGTCACACACTTCATGAGGGAAACATTACTCTTGTTAAATATCAACACAACATTTTCAGTACGTGTGTCGCTCTTTTTTTTCTAAATGTCGATCTATCCTGTTTAGATCATTCTTATTTGATGTAGTTTTATAATAAAGTAATTTAAATGTATTATTTTTTTTTTTAAATCCCTGTATTTTTCATTGTTATTTTCATTGCTTGATCATCTTTGTTAGTTTTTCGGAGGCTTGCATTCGTGTCTGAGACCATTTTGAGCATACAATGTTTTTTTTCATTCATTATTTTAATCACTTTGAATCTCATTTTATTTGTTCTAAATTCTCAAAACGAATGAATTTGATTGATTGATCCAGTAAAGTGGTGTCAAAAAACTCAAAGGGACGAAGTGGTTCAGGGTTAACTTTAGCAGTCAGGAAAAGATACAGTGTGTTTCTGCCAACAGGTAGAAGACCACCTGAAGTCTCATTTATTTCATCTGTGCGAAAGAGAGGAAACAGAAGATTCACCTCCATGAGGAGAATTTAACCTTGGACGCTGCAGAGATAAATCTGGCCTCAAGGAACATAAAATAGCTGAGCATAAAGAAATTAACAGAAATTCAGATTTTTACAAAAACACAACTTCATGATATTTCAAACACTTGAATTCTTCTTGTGAAGGGCACCAAAAGACATTTCAGAGTGAGAACTTGGTGGGACTGGTTTATATTTGGATTGAAGTTAATCAGAGTTAGCACACTGTATTATACTCTTTTATTTTATGGCATTGGTGATTTGGACAAGTTAATCTGCATCAGGTAATACTGTACGATTTCACTATGATGTGAGCTTCTATTTTCAATTTTTATTGTTCACATTACATTCTGTTTCCTCCAGATCATAGGTCACCTTCATGTAACCTCTTAACTCTAAACTTCTCTTAAAATAGCACTGAGGTAATTGAATCTCTACCAAAAATATATGACACCTTCTTAAATCAGGATTTAAATGTGTTTGGATTTGGTGCTGCTGTCTGGATTAACAAAATCCCTGGAAGTGGGATTTCTCTGAAGCAACTGGGAACTGGAGTAGACAGGGTTAGCTTGTTAAAACGGCTACTACACACTACTGCTGTAATACTATCCTCTCTGCTTTCATCTCCCTCTGATCCCACTTGACCTGACAGCGTGTAAAACACAAGTCGGAATTAATTATATCTGGATTTGATTTGGAGTCCAGAGACCGTTTCATCAAAGGAGGGAGAGTGTTTCTCTACAAGCTGATCTGAGGAGCGAGTGATTAAATGAAGTGATGGAAAGAATCTGCAATCTCCTCAGCGTCTCTCACCAGGTATGCACAGAGCATGAAGAAGCTGATGAAATAGATGTAGGACAAGTTGCTCCCGCAGGTGAACTCTTCTCCAGGCTCCGTGTCGGCCTCTGGGTCACACCGTCTGCCGGGCAGAGCTGCCAACATAATCTCCTGCCACTGCTCTCCTGTGGCACACCTGAAGAGCACAGAGACGGGGACGTGTTCAGCCTTCATTTAACTCTTACTTAGAGAGGGGGGATACATGATTTAGTGCTCTCCTAAAAACAGAGGGAAATCTGAAATAATTTGGCAGAATGAATATATGAACACATTTTACGGTTTATTTATTTTTTATTTATAGTCTTTTTCTTATTTTGCTAGCGCCTTTGTGTTTATCCACCATGTTGCTTATTTTTTCTCTTGTTAGAATTCAACTTGAAGTCTGACTACATAACAAGCGTGGGTCTCTCTTGGCTAAGACTGCTGACCTGAAGAGCACCAGAACGGCCATGAAGAAAGTCTGGAAGTTGCAGTTCCTGTTTATATGTGTGTCGTCATCAATGGCCACTTTCCCAAACGTCTGAATCGAGGAGAGGAGAAAACAAACAATGGAGGTAAATACAACCGATAAATCTCTGTGAAATGGAGGCGGACTGTCTTGAAAGAGTTACACAGTTTCTTTATTTAATGGATCCTTTTTAAAGTGTTGAGACTCACCTGCATGCCGATCACAGCATAGATGAAAAAGATCATTGCAATGAGGAGACCAACGTAAGGCAGGGCCTGAGCAGGATGAAGTCAAGAGCACAGTTTAAAAAAAACCCCACAAGTTTATAAAGCATTATAAAAACATATTAGAGTCAATCGTCAAAGCCATTCTTTCAACACCACACTGACCTGAAGAGATTTGACAAAAGTCCAGAGCAGCGTTCGGATTCCTTCTCCCTTGCTGAGCAGTTTAACCAACCGCAACACTCGGAACAAACGGAAGAACGTGATGGAAACCTTTCCACTCTCTCCTTTACCCTACAGCAAAAACAATGTATTAAGACATAAAACAAAGGGTTATTTATATGTTACAGTTTGAAGCCTAAAACACATGTGTACATAGATTAGTTCAGCTCTCACCTCTCCGTGGCCGCCTCCTCCCTGGATCAACGGACGACATGTGAGAGGAAAGAGGTTAAAAAGACATCAAGATCAGGCACAACAGGAATCATTCATTACATATTATCCTAACTGTTCATACAATAGACTGTATAATAAGATGGACGGAGCAACATCCCCGCAGAAATGAAGCCAAAAGATTTAGATTTAGAGCTCCCCTTACAGACTGGCTGCAGTATAGGCAATAAACCCCGCCTCCTCCTCCGTGATAACAGAAGGGACATGGGTCAAACTTTAAAATTTGTCAAATAATCTTTTTTCTCAAAACTGGATTCTGTCGTTAAATTCAGTTATTATCGTGATGATTTACGATCATGTGTTTATTCTTGTAAGAACTTTAGTATAATTGATTTATTTAATGTAAAACAGAGGGGTACTTTGGCTTCAACTTTGTACAATGGAAGGAGATGCAGATGTGTTGTCCATATTTATATACAGTCAGTGGTTCATACTCATTTATTCCTTTAAAATGGTCTCCACACTGCTGAGAATACAATTCTGAAGAAGAATTATTTTTGCAGGATTTTTTTGATGACATCAAAGCCAATTGCTCTAGATAGATTTAAGTGATGCTTCTTTTTTGTCTGAGAAAGGACAAATGAAATAGGAATAATTGTTGTATTATTTGTCTTGGTAAATCTTAAAAGTGGAGTCTGTGTAGACAGATCAGTGATAAAGAGGTTTTAAAATGTATCTGTACTGTAAACATGCACTTGTAATTTTTTCTTGATGGAAATTGAAGTGTGAGTAAAACTTACACTTAATTCAGAGATGGCAATATCCAACACGCTGCCCACGACAATCAAAGCATCGAATGAGTTCCACGGGTCGATAAAGTAATGCTGCAAAGAACAGAATAAGCACAATGAGAGTCTAAAACAGAAAGCATTGTCATTGTTGTGAATTCACAGAATAAAACCTCACATGAGCACGCAGAGCCAGCAGCTTGATGATCATCTCTATGGTGAACACCACGGTGAAGATCATGTTTAAGAGGTCCATGATGGAGGTGAAGAGTTTGGACTGCTCGTAATGCTGAATATGAGAGAAGCAGAGACATAAAATTTTTTCATCACAGCACTAAGACAGGTTGATATTTCTGTATTTTGTTTATTTTCTTATTATTTTTAAGGTGTGAATTGATACCTGAATGGCCAGAGTGAGGGTGTTTCCCAGAATCAGCACAAACATGATGTATTCAAACTGGCTGGAGTTGATGAGTCTCCAGAATTTGAGTTGGGAAGGGTTTTTAGGGATGTAGATCTTTATAGGCTGAGCTTTGAGAGCGTAGTACACACACTGACGCTGAGCAGGGAGAAAAAAAGCAAAGAAAAATATCATCAAATTTATGCGGGAACGAATACATCTGAAGAATATATGTTGATTTCGGAGGACAACCAACTTGGTTTTTGTTGAGTTCACAGTTTTTGAATTCAGCCTCTCCTTGCTCCCGAAATGTGATGATGACGAAACCCACAAAGATGTTCATCATGAAGAAGGCGATGATGATGATGTAGATGATGAAGAAGATTGAGATTTCCACTCGGTAGTTGTAAATGGGCCCTCGGTTTATGGCGTTGGCATCCACGGCGCGGTAAAGGAGCCTTTATGCAAAAATCAAAGCAGTGAAAGCAGTGTTGGTGAAGCCTTGATTCCAAATATGTCAAACTTATACAAAATAAAAAGCTTATGGTATTCTAGATGTTATTGATGACAAAAAATGCCATTTAAAGGCCAAAAAGAAACTATGAGTTAAACTATTACCAAGAGTTATTGGTGTAACTTAAGCCTAATATAGCTAATTATGAGCTGTCATAGACCTCCACTGTTTTCAAAAAACACTTTTATACATATATAATCCTTAAGGCACCAGATATGTTAATTCACTTTTGAAATCAGTCCTTAACAAATCCTATATTTACCTCTTGTTTACACTTTTATAACCTGTGTCCAGGCCTTTTTTTTAAAGGTTTATTCTTGGTATTTTTGTGACTCTATCCAGAGACAGGACAGTGGATAAAGCCAAAAATCAGGGAGATAGAGTGGGGGATGAAATACTGGTAAGGAGCCACAGGTTGTATCCAAACCCCCCCACCGGGAGGACTGCAGCCTCTGCCAACCACCAGTCCACTGGCGCCCCTGTACCAAGGTCTTTTAGAAAATTATCTGAATACTAAAATTAAGCTACATCTATGACCCTTTTTCAAAGATTTAAATCTTCAGTAAGAGCAGGTGATAAAACTTGCGGAGGCCTGAGCGACTAGCTGACAAATTCTTGTGTTTTTCTATTGAGGGGACTTCATTAAAAAAAATTGAATTCCACCAGACTTATCTATTGTACTATCTACTTTACTTTAATGCAGTAAAGTTCCTACTCACTGCGGCCAGCCTTCAAATGTGGACACAGTGAATAAAGCCAGCATGCCCATCAGCACGTTATCAAAGTTGAAATCACTGTTTTCCCAAACCCTCTCTTTCACCATGGGGTGGTTCATGTCGCCGTCTTTAAAGACCACAAACGTTCCCCTGAAATAAAAAAAAAACACACATTTACTCATTGTATCACCGTAATTCCATGTCAAAAGACTTATCATGTGTGTATTATTGTGTCGAGGACTGAAGGGACTGACTTGCACTCTTCTGGAGTGTGTTTGGCTTCGTCTGTGCAGCTGTAGAATCTGCCCTGTGATCAAAACACAGGAAGGTTACGCCAATAAAACACTCAGACGCAAACCAGCCTTTCAAGTAAGAGAAAACTACAATAAGAGTAAACTACACTCAGAAGCTGCTTGATTAGTTACACAATTCAATGCAGGCCAATACAAGAGCTCTGCCTTAAAGGTCACACATTATACAAAGTACACTTTACCATGTTGTTCTAACACTAATATGTGTCCCTAGTCCGTCTACAAACCCCCTAATAATAAGAAAAGTCCATCCTCTCCGTCTTTTCCCTGCTCCACTTTTCAGAAAATGTGTGCTCAAATAGGCCCTTTGGAGATTTTCCCTTCATGACATCACAAGGGGCAGTAACCCCTCCCCCAGGTGGGTGACACTCCCACAGCTAGGTGTCTGTTTCTGTCCTCATTTGCATTTAAAGCTACAGACACAGAAACCGTCCTTTCTGAGTGAAACTAAAATAGAGATGTTTATAGGCATGATAAAACAGGATCAGAGTGGATTTTTGCAAGAAACACAGACATGTTTTGTGAAGCTCTGAGAGTTATTGTAACTAGTTGAAAAGCAGGATAATATGTGACCTTCAACATCTATTCTCACTAAGCTCTAAATGTTACGTTTTTGGTGAAATTAACAGAATTGTGTAAATTCAATTCTATATTTGTTATTATTGAGACAAGAGTAAAAGGGGGTGTTGAGAGTGACTACATTATACTGAGACCATTCACATGTATAATTGGTGCAGATAACGATGAGCTCAATACTAAAACTGTTTAAAAGTGGAACATTTAAGGCTTTGCATGTGTACCTTATAAAGTGGACATTTAGTGTAGGACTCATAAAGGCAGATAACATGAACTTGTACCTTGAAGAGCTGCACTCCTATACAGGCAAACATGAACTGAAGGAGGGTTGTGACAATAAGGATGTTACCGATGGTACGGATCGCCACAAACACACACTGCACCACGTTCTGTGGAAGAATGAACAGAGGACATCTGTTAGCTTTAAGAAACAACCAGTTATATTTCATATTCATAGAACCTGTACACTGACTGACGCTAGCAACACCTAAACAACATTTTGACTGTTTACCTTCAGGCCCTTGGCTCTGTTGATGGCTCGAAGAGGCCTGAGCACTCGCAGCACTCGGAGAATCTTGACCACGGAGATCGCACTCGAACTGAGAGAAACGAAACAGAAAGCTTTAAGAGTCCAGAGAGTCAAGGATAACAACTAGTGCAGGTTGAGCTGGAAAATAAAGTATTGAGTATCATTGGGCCTGACACTAAGAAGATGCATGGATTGCATGCATCATTTAATATAAGATGAAGAAAAGTGTTGGACATCAGTTGCAGTACAACCAATGAGTGTGAAAATACAAAGAGCTCAAGTATAAAACAATATTCTTATCTCTAGAGGAGGCATGACAAGAAAGTTTGAAAAGTCTTTGTTTAGTGAGACATCTCTGCGTCGAAGGTAGTCAAAATGTTCTAAAGTTTTTGATATTCCAGGTGTTTGAAAATGATAAAATCTCTGTTATTTTAATGATGGATAGTAACAAAAAAGCACCAAAGCTTTAAAAAAAAAAAAAAAACTCCAGAGCCTCGGTCATATTCCAACCCAAAGCTACCACAATCAAGTGAGGGAACAGCAGTGGTTCATTGAAATGTACAAGTCAGCAAACACTTGTTTCTCGAGTCCTACTAGCTTCTCATTAAGACGTTAAGTTTTTGTCTCTTACAAACAGAGAGAGGAGAGGAGTTCACACGTTGCTGATGTATTTGTGCAATTTAGAGAGAGTGCAGGAGCTTGCTTGAAAATGTTGGACATTAAAAACAATTACCCTATACCTGAGGTCTAGGACTTTGTTTTTTGTCGCTGTGGTATGGAAATTATTGATTTGTACTAGTATCATACTGAAGTTTAAAATTCTGGTATTGCAACAACTCTAGCTGCATTCAAACATGACAGCCACACTCTATTGATTTGACTGTCAGGAGAAAACACAGCAGTATTTGATTGACAGGTATCTCACTGTAGAAAGAAAGATGTGAGCGACACGCTGACAACCAGCAGGTCGAGAAGGTTGAAAGCATTTCTGCAGAAGGAGCCCGAGTGCAGGAATGCGCCGTAGACAGTCATCTAGAGGTGAGAGAGAAAGTGAAAAAGTTGAAACGTACACAATCTACGGAAAGAAATTAGAGAAACTTGACGATGTAAGTCTTAGCAACCATTACCTTTAGAATAATCTCCACTGTGAAAACCGACGTGAAAACATAATCAGCATAGCCGAGCACCTGAGGATGTGAGAAACGATCATCAGTTTTATTGTTAAGGTAGTGACACACAGGTGGAGATGGTGTCAGGCTCATGGGGAGAGTCTTACTATGTTTCTGAATGAGTGGGATTTGATTGGATCCTCAGCAGCCAGGGAAATGCTACTGAGGATGATGAAGACGAGGATGAAGTTGGTGACGTAGGGGTGATGGATGAGGTTATGGCAGGCAACGCGCAAACTGAGAATGGGGAGGAAATTACAAAGAAAAGCTTAGATTTCAAGCAGGCGGTTAAATGTGAGTAAAAACCTATAAACAAGATAAGGTTGAATCAGGATGGAGTTAAAGTTATTAAAATGGTATGGCTGATTCAGTTAAATTTGACCCCATGGGTGGAACTCAGATTACCAGTTTTTCTTTCCAAGAATGAAGAAGGAGCTTCCATCAGGGATTGGGACGATCTTCTCTTTGGGCCCTGAGAACTCGGGCTTTAAAGGAGCGACTCCTACATTTTAAAAAAACGATACAAGTATAAAAGACGGTTCATTTTCTAATCTGCATGTCTGCTGTTTCTCCTGCAGAGCGGGGTTGTCCCGTATACTCACCCTCCAGACCCTCGATGGCCCTCAGCTCCTCGTTCTCCTGCCAGTCATCCTCCTCATTCTAAGAGGGAGACAAAAAGATCAGCCGTCTTTAGTGTGGCTCTTAACAGAACAAAGAAGCTTAAGAAATTCAAGATTCTCTACCCCTGCGTCTTCATCTTCCTTCTCATCATCCTCGTCCCACTCTTCTTCTTCTTCTTTTTTCTCTCTGATAGAACGAACAACAAGCAACTGTAATGAAGCTGGGAAGTGCTTTTTTTTTCTTTTTTTTTTTTTTTACATGAACTAAATTTACAGATCAGTGCAAGAAATAAAAAAAGACAGCCCAGTAATTAAAATGCCCACTGCTTTTCAACATGATCAGCATAACAAAGTCATCAAGCTTACTCGACTTTTGTCTTCCCGCCGCCTCCTGCCAAGTTGTCGACAGCGATAGCCAAGAAGACATTGAGCAGGATGTCTGATCATTAAGTTAAGGACCCCATTTCTTTCAGAATAAAAGACCAGACATTTATACTGCTTTTAACAGACAACATCATATCACCACTATCTAAGCGTCCTTACATTGGCTTCCTGTTAGTTTTAGAATAGTTCTAAAGATTTAACTGATCACTTTTAAAGGCCTTACAGTTCTGGCTTCTAGCTACATAGCACAACTATTGACTCCTCATGGACCAGCTAGCAGCTTTAGATCCTCATGCGGGGTTCTTCTGATCCTTCCAATGTCGAGGCTTAAATCTAAAGAAAATAGTGCATTTTCCATCAGGGCCCCTCGACTTTGAAACAATCTGCCTGAGGAGATAAGACGTGAAGAATCAGTGACATCTTGAAACCATTTCTTACAGCTTTCCTTTATCGACATGGTTTGATGTGTTGCTGATGCCTTGTTGCTTTTTGATAATTTTTCTACTTTTTCTAATCTTATTTTATTTCTTATCACTCCTCTCGTTTCTTTATTTCACTAATATCCTCATTTTAATGCTGTGATTTACTGTATTAGTTGTATCTCTTTTTACTGATTTAATCTCCTTTAAATGATTCTATCTCTTGTCATTGCTCCTCCCTCTAACGTCTCTGGCCGTCTTTGTCTCAGTTTGTTGGATTCTTGTGATGTTTGGGTTAATTGTGTTTTTTTTTTAGTTGTATGGGTTCTTTTGTGTTTGGGTTCTTATGCTTATTCTTATTCTTATGCAACACATTTGTTGTTTTTGATGCTTTTTCTTGTATTTCAAAGTACTTTTTTTAAAGGATCTATACAAATGACGTTATTATTTTATGTGTAAAATTTTATTTTGCAGGTTGCTGGATGTATCCATCTGACAACCTCTCTGCCAATTCTGCCCCTCAAAGCACGTAGAAATCCCTACAAAGGCCTTGAAAGTCCTAAAACCTCCTACAATCTGTAGTTTTGTGAGTGGTGAGCATAGTTTTCCATTATATGTCACTGATCTGACTCACAGAGTCTTCAAAGCTCAGACAGAGAGAGTTCAGAAACACTGGAGAAGGATACAGTTACCACAGACGAACAGGATGACAAAGTAAACGCAGACCACCATGTTGGGAAAGATCGGCCCTCCATACGCCATAATGCCGTCGTACATCACAGCGTTCCAGTCCTCTCCGGTGAGGATCTGCAGAGACAGGCCATTAAAAACGAGAGACGCAGCAGACAGACGAAGTAAGAGACTGATGATAACAGCACATCAAATAGCAGAGAGGGTTTGTGACATTGTGAGATATCTAGGTGATGTTAATGACCTGGAAACAAGTGAGCAGGGCCTGAGGGAAGGAGTCAAAAGTGCTTCTCTTCATCTGAGTCTCGTCAAAGTTGAATTTGCCTCCAAACAGCTGCATGCCAAGCAGGGCGAAGATGATGAGGAAGAGGAAGAGCAGGAGTAGAAGGGAGCAGATAGCTTTCATGGAGTTCAGCAGCGAGTTGACCAGGTCGGACAGAGCAGCCCAGTGCCTGGAGATTAAAAAACCAAGGAGAGCAAAGACAACACATCAGGAAACGAGGAAAAGATGAAAGAAAAATCTGCAGGAAAAAAAAAAAAAAAATTCCTGCTGCAACTACCGAGTCATCTTGAATATCCTGAGCAGTCGGATGCAGCGCAGCACAGAGATGCCGATTGGTGGGATGATATCCATCTCTACCAGCAGCGTCTCCAGGATGCCGCCGCACACCACGAAGCAATCAAAGCGGTTAAACAGAGCCATGAAATAGATCTGCAGGCCGAAGGCATACATCTTCATCAACATCTCCAGAGTGAAGAGCATCAGCAGGATCTTGTTGGCTCGCTCTGACAGAAGAAAAGAGAAGATGTGACATTTCGTTCAACCCCTCTATTTTCTGATTTGATGACATACAAACACCTTTATTAAAGTAAATGAGAAATAAGTTTTTACCTTGCATTTCTGTGAGCCACTTCGGCTGTCCGTAATGCTCGGAGGCACTCGCCACTGTGTTGAGAAACACCAGCAGAAGCACCAACCAGTAGAAGTTTGTGGTCTTGACGGCAACGCGGCAGTTCTTCCTGAACGTGTGATTCAGCTGACACAACTGGTCACTAAAAAAGAGTGAAAATAGGAATTTGAATTATTTTTGCATTTGGGTTCACCCATCACAGGGACAATCAACCAACAATCGAAAAAAAGGTGATTCACTTGTTATTTCTAATTATTTGCAAGGGGCCACAAGTCTAGCAGTCGGACCGTTTAGCAGAAATGTAAGACTGTCCCAGGAAGTTTATAGGGTCAATACTTGGCTGATCTATTAGTGTCAGCTGTTTGGAGTTGTTGAGCAAGTTTCACTTGTTCTATAACCCAATCGGACTCTACATTTCTACAATTCAATTAATTCAGCAGATGCTTCAACTGTCATCAAAAACAACACTGTCAGCTGCTCTTGAGAGTCCTAATCAGCATCCAAACCATCCTAAATATCATCATCGTCCTAAACATTAATTGTTTAGGTGTTTATGAAAGAGCTGGGTCTTCAGCTTTTCCTTAAAGGTGACAGGGGACTGGACAGATCGGATGGAGTTTAGTAGTTCATTTCCACCACCAGATTCTGCAGCTACTTGCAATACCTGCAAAGTTGCAAAACCCCCTTCTTGTAGAAAGTTAGCAAATCAATGTTTAGTCTAATGATACCTTACATATGAAACAGTGACCCCAGTCTCCTCCACATAGTGACTCATGCAGCTTATTAAGTAGACACGGGAATTAAATTGGCACTTGGTATCAGCTGATATCCTCCTTCTTTAAGTAGCATTCTTTATTTTGACTGATTTGGTAATAAGAGGTGCCCTGGATGAATTCCTCAGTCATTTTCAAAACACAGAAAGTCAAATATTTTAGCTTCCTCTAGAAGGCAATGATACAATGAGTGTCCTTGAGGAATGCATGGTTCAAAGTAAGATATAACTTTGGATTCATGCAATACGATAAGTAAATAAACTTGATTGACACTATAATAGAAAGCACTCCTGAATGACCGATTCAAGAAAAGTAATAAATGATGCAATACTACAGGGTTTTATTATTCCTCTATTAGAAATATCACCCCGAAAGTCCACTTACCAGAAGCTGTTGGCCATCATCTTTGCCCTGAGAAAACAAAAGAACATCAGCAAATGATTAGCGACTCCACTTATAGCTGCATGTCAATGATAAATGAAAAACCACACTGTTATTTCTCTCTTACATGAGAGAAGCACAGAAGCCGCTGTCATCATCCAGGTATGCTATATCATCGTCTGAGTCTGACTCTGTTGAAAGCAGAGATATTGAACTGTTAGGGAGACTCTAATAAAAAAAACGATAAATAAAAACACCAACATATAGTCAGGGCTGACTCACCTCCTCCATCCTCACTGCGTTTGTACCATCCAAACTTCTTCATCATCTTTTTCTTTGCAATGGCAGCACCTTAAAGATGAAGCACAGGCAGATTGAGAATGGATAAAGCTGAATCTTTAGCGTGAGTACATTCACATGCTCATGTTTGGAACTGACGTTTGTTTCCTTCTTCATCCACATCTTCGGCCTCGATGAGCCAGTCCATGTAGCCGATCATGTCCTCCTCCATCTGCTTGCTCTCCTGCGCCTTCTGCAGCTCACCTCGTGCCACGGCCTTTTCTCTCTCTTTGGAGAACTCTCTGTCCACATAACACACAAACACAGCAAACACTCAGAAAAAGATTAAAAACACACAAACAACAACAACAACAAAAAAAAGGTCAAGAAGTGCAATATTGCAGCTACCCACCCGCTCAACACTCCCAATACGAGGTTGATGATGAAAAAGGATCCGAAGATGACCAGAGAGACAAAGTAAACCCATGGAATCTCAAAGCCAATGGCATCGTTCATCTGTGCACAAAGAAAAAATTTGTATTTACAGCTAAAATAAAAAAATATATAAGTACGTAAAAAAAATGTGGAGGATGCCGGAGCATGTCTGTGTACCCAGTAGAGAACATCTGTCCAGCCCTCCATAGTGATGCATTGGAAGACCGTCAGCATGGCGAAGAAGATGTTGTCAAAGTTTGTGATGCCTCCGTTAGGCCCCTCCCACTTTCCCCTGCACTCCGTCCCGTTCCAGTCGCAAAAGCGCCCGTTCCCGGCGAAAGCACAAGGTGACGGGTCATCTTCCACCATCAGACCTGGAGCAGAGGGACGGCTTGCATTAAGCCAACAAGTGCGAGTAATATAAACAATGTATGACATATTTTTTTTTAAAAATCGAAGAGCAGATACCTGTGCTCATGGAGTAGCACGTCTTGTGCATCCTCCCGATAAAAAGCTCCAAACCGATGATGGCGTAGATGATGATGACGAACATGACCAACATACCGATGTGCAAGAGGGGGACCATGGCTTTCATGATGGAGTTCAACACAATTTGTAAACCTGAAAAACACATTACATAACAACATAATTACATCATCATTATAGTAGTTGTTATTTCTAATAATTCACACAGACTACTTTTACTTGTGTCATTTGAATTTTACCCATAAGTCTTTGTTATCTTTTAGCTTTGCTGTTGCTGTGTATATGTCTCTTGCCTGTCTCTTTCTATCTCCCTCTTTCTGCATCTCCCTCCATCACACTTTCTCAGCCCATCTAGTCATGGCAGAAGGATGTACACTATAGGCGTTTGAGGACAACAGGAACTTTTTCATAGTTCTAGGAACTGTTGGAACTCCCTCTCTTTTTTAGTGATTCCGCACCACAGGAACTATGAACTATTTTAGTTCCTAGAACCCCATTTAGAGGAACCTTTTTAGCTCCTGCTTCAGAGTAGGTACCATGGCGGGGCAGATGCAGACGGAGAAAAAGTCCCTGTGGTTTGTAGTTCTCAGGGAACTCTCAGGTGGATAGTTCCTCTGCAAAAAGTCCCCAGAACTGTTTGGGTCTGAGTCTGGATCTGCTCAAGTTTTCTGCTTGAAAAAAGGATTTTTATCTACTTGACCATGTTGCCAATTGTCATTGTTTATGGTGGACTAATGACGGGACTGACAGTGTTATTCTTTATTAATCAATCTCATATAAAATGCATTTCTTTTAACATATGATAAAATGTTCATACTGCAAAGAAGCTGATCTGTGGTAAGCATGTACACCAACAGAGAAGCAGAATGTTTGTCATTTCAGTAAAACTGTGAAACTTGTTGAGTTGGTAGAGTTAAGAATAATCGATTGTTGATTTGTCTTTTTACTACTTTTTGCTGCTTGAATAACTGTTGTATTAAAGCAATATTACACCTGAAGTCCAGATGTTTTTTACTGGATATCAGCACTGCTGTGATTATCTTCAGCACTCAGCTTACAGCCTCATGCCTGCAACCAAATCAGAGAAGTACTGATAGTCAGAACAACATCACTCCCTCTGGTCTGGTATTGGTTAAGTCTAGAGCTGCTCTTTTGGTCAAGTGTTCTATTGTGACTCGGTGCAATAGAATTAAAATTGATTGATGTTTGAATGGATCCCAAAGCAGACATGCAAATATCAACACAAAACAAAACAAAAAGACGCACTCGGCACTCCAGATACGAGTCGAAGAGGTCGTAACACCCTGAACGCTCTGAGGGCTTTGACATCCAGGCCTCCGGGTTTTCCTGCGGCGTGATGAGCCTCTCCTGGTTTATGGTCCGTCATGGCCTCTGCTATCACACTGAACAACCTGCACAGAGAACACACAGTATCTGTTAGAGCTCTTAAAACATGTGTGGATGCAAGTGGTGAGCATGTGAAGCAACAAAAAATACCCGACTATGACGATGACGAAATCAAGCAAGTTCCATCCGCTGCGGATGTAAGCGCTGGGGTGCATGACTAAGCCGTAGGCGAGGATTTTAGTGAAGGTCTCGATGGTGAAGATGACGAGGAAGACGTACTCGACTTGTTCCTGAGAACAAAAGAAAAAGTCAATGTGGGCATGATTGGTAAAATTGGAATGACCTTTGTTTTCATGCGTCAGTCAGTGTGTCTGAAAGGAATAAAAAAAACAAAAACATAAAAACAGCAGATTAATCCAAACAGTCTACAGCAAAAAAAAAAAGTGGCTTTTAATGATTTTTCCCGTACTTCACATGTGTTGTCATTAGAGGCTGATCGCACTGGTTTTCTAACCTCTTAACCCACTGCCTAACACATGCTTAAGCCTGCTGTTGAATCCCTTCTCCATGCCCTTCAGCTTAATGCGTCTAATCACTAGCACCACTGTCACTGTGCTTTTACCTCACGCTGACACCATAATCCCGCTATAATGTGGTTTAATTTAAGAAGACGTAAAGGGACTCACAACAACCTGATACATTCACCAGACGCTATCCTAAAAATGTATGATACCAACTTAAAAAACCTAAAAACCCTTCAAGCCACTGCAGGGAAGTGATTGCTAAACTGTCAGCTTACCTCCTTTGAGCAATCCAATAAAGAGATCTACTAACATCCTGCTGCAAGGGTACGCGTGTGTCTCTCTGCTGCACTTTTTACTCTAATTACCTCAAATTCATTTCAAATATTTGATCACTTCTGTTGCAAGCTCATTTGGATCGATGCAATAAGATTAGGCAAACATTTGAGAGAGTTAGTAAATAAAAAAAGCTTTTTGGTGTTTATACTTTGAAGAAAACACGATTTTTAGTTTGACTGTGTAATATGTTAATAACAAATGATCAGACTGAGTGAAAATGCAGCAGGAAAAAAGAGAGAGAGAGAGAGAGAGAGAGAAGGCAGATGGTTTGTGTTTTAAACCAGCCGTGATCCCCGTCAGGGTCACCTCAGAGAGGTCACACCACAACTTTTCCCCTCCTCTAATACCATTACCATCCAACACAATGCTGCTAGCTTCTCACTCAATGTTGCTACCTTACTCAAAATATCGACTGACTTCGTGTCCATTACGTGAAACACTGAGACTCTTTCATACATCACAAGAGTCTTGCACACTTCTCTCAGTGTTCTCGTATGTCCTGAGAGGGGATCTGAGGTTAGAAACACACGGGGGAGAGAAGCATGAGGTATGAAAACAAAGGCCACAAAATGAATTGTTTTTGAATATAAAAATACAAAAACATATTTTTCATTTTTACATTTATTCCCCTGTAAAGGCATTAATATTCTGTCCTAAACTTTTTGTTGCTTTCCATAGAATGAGCTCTATTTTAGTTATAAAATGTAGAAACCACGATATGATTAAAATCTCAGCATCAGTTGGAAGTTCAAACTTTATGGATATTTCTCCATGTCAGCCTCTGTCTCCCTTCACCTGTCTTCTTACAAATCGATGTATGCATCTCTATAGCTTTGTATCACTATAAGTAGGTATTCATGGGAGTATATTATATTAATGCAGCAAGCATACAAAATATGGGAATCCATGGAGGATGTTTAATTCAGACCGGAATAATTATAATTCTTGTATTTTAAGGCAGTTACTTATTTTATATCCTGCAGTTTTATATCTTTATTTTTGTTTTTGAGTTGAACTCTGTGACTGTGTGATTATTTTTGCTGTTAGCCACATTTGTTGTGTATTTGTTATGTTGAATAAATGTTAAAGTTTCTGTTAGAGGTAACCCATCTATGTGTTTTTTAAGGCCCTGTACCAGATCCAATAACTCTTTCCTTTGTAATAACATCAAGGTTAAAAAAGTGCTTTTAACCCCTTTCAATGACATTTCACACCTCCTCAACTTGTCTTTTGAAAAACTAAGTTGTGTAAAAAAGCTTGTGTTTAAAGTTAGATTAAGAAACCTCTGAGTTTATACCACTGCGCATCCGTCCACTGGATACTCACCAGTTGGTGATTGGTGGCATTGGAGTCATCGTCAGGGTACGGCTTTGTGACACCCATGGCCACACAATTGGCAAAGATGGCGAGGAGAATGAAGATATCAAAGGGCTTGAGAGGGTTGTAGTTAAGGGAACAACATAATGCATCTTTCCATGAAATAAACACCTGCAAAAAATAAAACTGCAGCTCTTCTTCATCCGAACATATTTTCATAAACACATGCAGGTCCATTTGCATTCACATAAATACACTGCTGTGCATCAAACACAGTCTGAACAGGATATTTCCACTCGACCAGGGCCAGCGCTGCCATGCGGATGGGGTTGCTGAGAGTAAGGCAGCAGAGGGCTCGGGGGGCTCGGAGGGCAGACTTGTTGGCCTGCATTGCCTTCTTGGCCCCCCCTCCTCTTTTTCTGGCTGAGCCGGTCGACCCCATGGTGTCTGTCTTCCCGACATCGCCCCCAGGAGGAGCATCTGTCAAAAACATATTAAAGTGAAGTTATTCTTTTTATTTAAGAATCACTATGTCTAAGTAATAAATAACCACTTTTTTGTGATTTTAAAATATGAGCTAATAAACATATGTAATTAAAAAAGGTGTTTAATAGGAGAGGGGTGGGCCTGTTGTATTTAAAAATACTTTACTGTTATTCAATCAAAGCCCAGTGCACAGTTCTGCTTGATGTGCAACTTTCAGCACCATGCCTTAATTCATGGCTTATATCAAACCACATCTTATCATCTAACCCAATGAAGGACATTGGAGTTGACCCACGGCTGAAGGAACAGACAGGTATTCTGTCCTGGAGGCTTCACATGATAAGACCAGATGTGACCTACTTCTTTATTGGGAGCAGCATAGCACTTAGCCCAGCGCTATCCCCTTGTATAGGCCTATGGACACCTGTAGACAAGGCCCTGCACAGAGAATAAGCCCTGCAGGTGTATTTATACACAAAGGAATGGCCAGAACTACGGACAAACCAGAGCTGGAATAAAGGGACATGTGGTGGAAATGCTGAAAGCTAGGCCAGTTGTACATCTTGTAAAAGTTTACTGTAGGTTACATTCTTCTTGTAACTGTTGAAAGCAAGCAGTAAGAACTTTGCTTGTAAAGCTTGTCGACACTGAATATAAAGATTATTTCTGAGTGAAATGATTAATCACCCACACGGCATGCATTTTCCTATTTCCAGTCAACATTACGCTGTTCAGTACGGCTACATAGACCCGTTTTTCCATGCATTACTTTGTCATGCGTATTTCTTCGAGTCTCTCTGTGCTTACTAAATCTCACAGACAGTTTAAGGAGTGCTTACCTTTCTTTGCTGCATCCATGGCCGCAGTTTAACGCCACGAAATCACTTCAAAAAAACCCACCATTCAACTCCTCAGAGGGTGTGAATTTAGGTCTCAAAAACAGAGAGCACTGTCTGTGTATAAAACACACCAGGACCATCTGCAGCCCGTCATCTTACATCCACATGCAGAGCGACGGTGCAGCTGAGAGACTGCGGGCCATCCTGCCTCACCGCCTGCCTCGCACCTCGAAATCCAATTAAAAAGCCGCTTTCTAGTAGTTTCTCAAACGTGTCAATAAAAAACTGCAATCACTTTTTACTCTGCGGGCACATAATATGAAAACAAACGTGTCCGTATGCATATCCGCGGTGGTCAGCCGTCAGGATTAACGCTGCTGAGCCGTTTAAAAGGATGACAGTGGAAATCTTTCAGGGGGAAGGTGGAGGTGGACTCAGGAGAAACATGCGACTCTGTGGGGGGAGGGGGGGGGTGTTTTAAAGTTTTAGTTAAAAAAATAAAATAATAATGTTTAAAATTGTTGGCAAGATATAAAAAAATTGTGTTGAATACTTCTGTTAGTTAGAGGAGCAACATTTCAGGACCATGGACAGAAGCAGGCGGTGGGTGCAGTACCGCATGAGAGGCGGCAGGGGGCGTGCTTTCACAGGGAGTAACATGTCATGCTACATTATAGTCCAGGTTTTGTGGTGTATTGTGCTTTTGACTATCTTTTTTCTGGACCTTGATTCTGTGATAAAGTTTGAATTGGATTAAACATCTTGGGGGCCCCCATGAAAATAAATTAAAAAAAACACCACCCCGTGTCTTTAAGAAATTTTTTAACTTTTATTGTTTTTAAGGACTTTTGCAAGATAAATACATTAAGACAATAAATAAATAACAAATTATTTCCATACAGCCAAAGACACAGAAAAAGATGGGCTAAGATTGTATCATCGCTCTGCTATGAAGATGAAACTATTTTTAAAAAGTAAAGCGATGAAGTTAAAAAGTGCTCTGTTGCTTGATGCAGAAATCAAAGTGACAGTGGGTACAATACAACTAACAACCTAAACTGTGAAAGTAATTCAGCTCTTAACTCCTCCACATTTTTGCAGCGTTGCATAAAAGACAGAATCAAAGCTCATCCTTTGAATATAAACACAAATACTAATGATACAAAATAACTCAGAGCTTCAGGAGAAGGAAATATCTCATCAAAAGATAACGCAAACTAAGAATAGAATGGGTTTGTTTTTTACAGATGCATTTTTTTGTGTTGATTGTCACATCTGATGGACACAGATGACTTAAAAACATATTCTCAAACTCCTTCTCTCCACGGTGAAACTTTCACTGGACAACATTATGCTGTAAAATCACAGCTTATGTTTCAGATGAGTGTGATCCTTTTGCAGATCTCTTTTCTTTTCTTTCGTGGTAAAGAGAGTGAACTGCAGCTAACTCAGGTTTTTACTCGCTAGGAGTTGCTTTTCTTTTACGATTGTTTGGATCTCATCTAAATGTCAAATTTGTTTTTCTTCTTTGGATCAGCACTTAGAAGTTTCATTGTTAGAAGTCATTAGTTTTCTTCTTTGATTTCTTTTAGCCAGAATAACGGTGAACTTAAGAAGCCTGCATAGATCAAAGACACACAAAATCTATTTCAGACTCAAGTGAGAGGAAGGTTCTTCATCTAAGGAATGTCACCACCAGTTCCTACTTTATAAACCTTCATATATAGAACTTTTCATCAGTGAGCCATTGGCTCAATCAACACTAGAGACCAAACAGACATTTATTCAAATAAAAAACATGAAAATCATAAATATTTTTAAAGTCAAGCTTCACTACTTTATATGTGCATACTTTAAGGAATACTGATAATTTGCAAACTTGTAAAATACCTGCTTTCTCCTTTCTGATAAGATAGAAGTTAAATGTTTAGCCAAGAAGTTGTAGCCTAAACTTTTGGTAAAAACACACACAAACTAAACATCAAGAGATTCATTTTCTTTGGTAAGATCTAGGCCAACTATCCCCCCTTATCTTAGTCTTTGTGCAAATCTGGCTTCTCATCTAACTCACATAAGCAAATCCCACAATGTCTCAAAATATCCTTTTATAGTTAGATGTTTTAAACGCTAAATAATCTAATTTATTTTATGTATACATTTCAGGATTGCATATTCAACCCAAATGGGTCACGTGGTAGTGATGGTAGGTTTCTAAGCTTGGTAGCTAGTCCCATCACCCAATTTATAGTGCTTCAAGTTGAACAATATAAACACCACCTTTCTTTAACATGAACATGATCTAAGGGTAACATTAAAATAAATGTAGTATGAGATCCTGAAGGTGCAAAAATGAAGTGTGTAAGGATCCTTATTGACATAAAAACATTCACTTCATAAATAACTAAAACACACAATTATTTGCCCCTGAGGTTAATTCACATAGTGCAAGTGTGACACCACAAACAGGACCCGTGTCTTCACCTCCTGTTCCTCCTGATACCTGCTGTGGTGTCTGGTGTCCTCCCGTCTGGCCTCAGTCCATGCTGCTCTCTACACAAACTGCCCCCTCTCCCCTCATTGCTGCTGCTGCTGCTGACCACCATCCTTAGGAGGTAACTGATCCTCTGAAAAGGGGATAGCTGGAGAAACCAGAAAGAAGACACAAGACATTTGAGGTTCTGTGGCAATTCAGACTGCTCAATCAACCTTCTTGATGTAACTCATTCATGTATTCAATTGAGTGATTTTCTACATAAAACAGAAGAAACCTTTATCGGCAGAAGACATTTTGCATTATTAAAAAGCAAAAGCACTGGTGAAAATAATACTTTTTTTTAATGTAATGGGTGGCAGTAGCTCAGTCCAGTTCAAGTCCCAGTGCGGATAAATACAGTATAGAAGTTGGTCTGGCTGCTGGACAGACGCCAGGTCCCGTCCCGAGTACTGCAGACTACTGAGATGCCCTTGAGCAAGGCGCTCCCTGTGTAGAGGCCCCGCTCTGACACCTCTGCACTAATGCATGTCCACAGGTCCTGTTGGTGCATGTTTGTATTTCAGGCCTTTGTGTGTGAGTAGCATGTCTCTCATTAACAGAGTGGAAACCAGAATTTCCCTCAGGGATTAGTAAAGAGTATAAATATTTTTATTAAACAAAATAAATTAATTAATCGATTTCTGGTACGATGCAATTGGCTGGACTGAATGAATTCGATGTATTCAGTAACATCTGTGCTTTTTATACAGCAGCCATTCAAAATGTCTGCCACCAGAGATGCCTAAACCTCTAACAGAGAAAGATAACGACACAATGACATGTTATATTCACATCTTTTCAACTTAGACGTTCAACACTATTTTTAAAGATTTTTTCAATTCAGAACATTCGTGCTGGAGGGCTCTTTTTTTTTTTCTTTCTTTTTATCTTTTTTTTTTACAGTATTAACAAAAACAAAACACGTACATTGACTCCATCAATATTAAAGATGTTTCTTTAGCTGCAGCACTAGACTAGACTTTGCAAAAAGTGTGTCATTAATTGATGGTTAATTGTTTTTTTGCATGAGTAGATTTTTAGTTACAATGAGAATATCTGTATAAAAGATCAATACGAAAGACTGAATTATATTTATATGTTTCCACACCTCTAATAGCTGCAGATGGTTGGACACATTAGCTTCTTTTAATTTAATAAAGCTAATTTTCGAGCACGTATAAAATACTGAGACATTCAGTTGCTTCCTCTTCTTAACTCTGCTTCAGTCTTCACCTTACCCTGAGGATGATATCTGTTCATTGTTTCACTATGTTGACCGGGGACAGTTAGTAACTTGTCAGCTGTTTGGTGGTAGACAGGTAGCATGCAGTTGTTTTTACAGGTTTGTTTTTTTTTTTGCTAAAAATGGCACGATGAGAGGTGAGAATGAGATCAGTAGAGGTGCTGATGAGAAAACAAAACTGTGAGATAAAACATACTGAAACACAGGGGGGTGGGTGGGTGGTAGAGGTGATAAATGTCTGTGATCCTTTGCTGATATCAAAATGATTTATAAACATAAAAGAATATTTTCAGCATCACTCACGGTTCTGAAACTGCTGCGCTGTATATCTGGTTAGGAGGATTCCAAATCCTTCAATGAGAGCGAGCAGTATTCCTCCCATCATGGCAGAGCCCACCATGGTTAACGGCCCACCTGAAGGACAACACAGATTTCATTGAATACATTTGATGTGGTAAGTGACACTGAAGGGGTACAACACTAGCTTCCTCTTACTGCGCGCTGCTAGGATTGCTCCAGTCAGTGCTCCGCTTGATATGGAGTTCCAAGGATCCTCTTTCCCTCTGAGACGGACTAAACCACAATCAATAGTGGAGAAGAGGCCCCCCCATATAGCAAAGCTACCTGCAAGACCACAAAACACAAACTCATTTGTTTGCAAGACTGGATGTGAAATAATTGGGCTCTTTAAAGCAAAGCATTTTGGTAAATCATTAAATATCTACAGGAAATTAAACAGTTTATCTCTAACAATCGCCATAAGCACATTAAGATTTCATGAGAGGAAAGTTCCTCCTCACCTCCGATCTGTGGGGCTCGTATTCTCACTGCGTTTGCGCTTCCTCTGAGTCGGTGTCTCACACCCTGAAACATGAGAGCACCGTTTAAGTCTGTGTTTGAAAACCCCAACACATAGGCTTAAGGAAGTTATGATGATCATTACATGGTGCACTCACTGCAGGGGCATTACGAAAGCCCTTGATGGCCTGGAACACCCCTCCTCCGATTGTACCCATGGTGAACGCCCCTCCACAGTCATCGACTATCCTCCAGGGACTGAAGCCATGCACCAAAAAGAGAGAGAGAAAGAAAGAAAATATAAAGACAGTATAAAGTATGAAGTACCCCAAAGTGACTTACGCTTAGTGAAGTAACATGTATGTCATCATTTAAAGACACACATAACGTAACCACACACACTCTGTGCTGATTAATGAAGTTATTAAAAATATATAATATATAA